GGCACTGCCCGGAGCTCGCCCCCAAAGCCATCCAAAGAACGAAACTTTCAGTTAAAATTAAAAATTGAAGGGCACAAAATAACCGGTATATTCTAATAGCTCTAGAGAATGAAAAGGAAACAACACGTATGTAATTATAAAGTAGAGGAGGCGAAAAAATGCTGCCTTAGTGCCTTAGTGTTTCAAATCATATAGCAAATCATAAGGTGGCCATTTCTAGCGTTTGTTGATCAAGCTCGACCTCTCGATTCTCCACAAAGTTACGATCGAATCTCGGAAAACTTGGCAGCCCGAGTTTAAAAATTATTTTACGGTTTTAGCGAGAAGGCGCTCGATCGAGGTTCCAAACAAAGCTCCCAAATCTTTGATTCCAAGACGATCTCGATGCTGGAGAAGAAGTTTAAGTCCATCCTTCTCATGGCTTGAAGATCCAGCTAATGGGATGACTTCCTTCTTTGTGAAAAGTCCGTGATGGCTGTTTCTTGAGCCCTGGTTTAGGGTTTTACATCGTGATGCTGCGCTCTTGTGTGAGTGGTGGTAGTACACTGGCACGTTCTCCGTCTCCATCTTTGTCTCCGCCGCATTATTGAGCGTGACAAAGGTATGCTCTGCTTTATTGATCTTTGATCTTCTCTGGGCCTCCTTGCTGTTTAAAACTCTGCAGGGGGAGTTACTACTCGCTTACTGAATTTTGGCGTAAGAAAGTGGTAATCTTTCGCAAGATCTTCCATACAGTTTGTGCCATGGCAGTTTTTTATTCAGTAATGCGAAGCACAAGCAAGCAACCAATTTTGAGGTACTGATTTTTTTTTTCTTTGCTTGCTTTTCTCTTCCTTTAGCTTTTTGTTGTCGTTGCTGTTAACTTACGTTGCTCGTGGATTCGGTCGTTGCTGTTTACTGGCTTTTCTGATTCCAGTTCCTCGATGTTCTTGTTGAAATGTTTTTCCCTAGTCAGAAACACGGGAGACGTTGAGCTCAAGTTTTCTGTGCCTCCTCCTGCTACGTTGCTCCTTTGGATTGTTGCGACTAATGCCGTGCTTGCAGCCCTTTTTCTCCAGTTCGCAGAGATGGTGCGGCCGGGGTGTGCATGGTTTTCAACGCATATGGACCGGACAGGAGCTTTTGCAAGCGTTGTCCTCCACGGAGCAAGATCTGGTTGACATAGTTGCACACGGTGTAAAGAACACATGACGGTAATGCAGCGCACAGCTTTCCCAAGTTCGGGTGTCCTGGAGGGACTTCTGGCCTTATCAGCGGCACGGCAGAATACTCCAGCAGGGTGGTGATAAACGCGAGCTCCATGATCAGACAGTGGTGTAGAGCTGTCGACGCAGGAGATTGGAATGGCTCTTGCTTCGTCGCCTTATTGGAACGGGATTTCACTTGGAGGGCATGGAAGTTCCTTGTTAAGGAAGTGCCATTCACGTCACCAGTATATGAAAGCGAGGACGATAGTCGTTCTAGCGACGGACGAAGACTTTAAATGCTGCCAAGGTCTGAGTTCTAGGAGTGATTGACTTTGTCACTGCAGCCGATATTCAAGAGATCGGTGAGAAGTGTCTGACGTAAATCAAGAGAGCGATGCATGAGTTTGGTATTCATCGAAGTACAAAGTCATCTATAGAGCATGGACGAAGTAGCAGTGGAGACAGTGTGAATGATTTCATTGGATTTCTTGAATCTCAAAAAAATTCTAGGTATGTGCTGTTTCTGCTTGATCAAACAGTAGTGACTCATTCTTACAGTGACTCTAAGTAACTCTAAGTAGATCCATGTATTGGGAATGTGGAAGACTTTAAAGAGCTCAAGTGGCATTATGACCAGTCATGTGAGTATGTCCTTTTTAATATTTGGTATATATAGGGTTTCTAATGTGTATGTGGAGTGGGCAAAATATTAAATTTGTTGGAATAAATTATTAAATTTGTTAAAGGTAAGGGTTTTAATGTTTATTTTGTACCAAAAACTCTTTTAATATTTGTTATATTTAAGAGGATTTTCTTGAGGAAGAATTACTTTTATGATGAAATAACTTAGCATACCTTACAATGGAATTAGCACATCAGAAAGAGAGTCTCAAAATATTTCTTCTTTTTTCTATTTTTTCAAAACAATTTTTCTTATGGTTTCTATTTTAAAAGGTAATTACAGCTTAAAGAGGCACGCAAATGCAATTAAGCCATTAGATTGATGAGGGGAGAATAAAATGGCAGGGCAAATATTTGAAAACATCCAATTAAATGTCAACAATGTTTCAAGGAAGTCAACTTTTGCTTGAAGATTCAATTTTTTGCTTCAAGGAAATTGATTTGCTATTATAACCTCATGTGGATCTTTAAGAAAAAATTGATCTCTCTGAAGTAAAAAATGTGAATCTTCAAAAACAAGTAGTTGAATTGGAGAAGAACCTCTCCTGCATGGGAGCTATGCAGAGGAAAACCACAAAAACATGTCCATAGCCTTTTTGAAAAGCTTGCGGGTAGGCTCTCGGGTAATCTTGTTATCTCTTTCTTTTGTGAGCTTTATTTTTTCTTGGACAACTCTCATCATCACTATATTTTCTTTCAGGGTGGCAGCAGGGTATGCTTGGAATGCAACCTTTCCTACGGATTTGAATTATCCCATCAAATTATCCTTATGTTTTCTTCTTTCTTTTGCAGGTCTTACATACATGAACGTTAATCAATCTCTTACGAGTCAAGAGCGCCTCATTTACTGCCAAGCCGAGAAAACTGCTACAGCAAGTGGTTTGTGACGATGCATCGTCACGTTCATGGAGAGCGTGGACACAGTCCCAGTGATGGCCTGGCAGTGCATCAGCTCAGGCGCTCAAACTTTAACGTTGTGCTCGAATCAAGAAAGACTTACAGCGTCCGTGCTGCGTCTCTGTTCCTCTTTCTGGAGGTTTTTTCCCCGGCACACGGAAGGCTGATGCATGTCAACGGGGAAGAGTTTTCAAAGTATCCAGCTTTGACACTCATCTGCTCGCTTGCCTTGAGTTATCACGACAGCAATGCCTCTCAATACTACGTTCAGAACCTCAGGGATGACAAAGGTGTCCATCAGGTGATCAAGATCATGCAAAAGATAGTCCGGGGTGATAACAACAGAAGGCTTTATCTGGTGCTGGGCGATGATCTCTGCTGAGCACGCGGTTTTACTCCGGAGTATTGCTAGTTTTGGTGCTGTAGTCTTATGCGGGAAGTGGCAAGAGTTTCTGAAGAAGGAAGATCGTGCACTTTTCATCAACAGCGCATTCAACGTAAACCCGCTTCACATGTTAAGTTGCATTTACTAAACTCTCTGTTTGATTCAGGAGGTTGAAATAACAAACAACTTGGCGTAATACTACGAAAGAAAGTATTTGGGGAAGACTGGCTGGGTTCCGGGGTTGGTTGCCACCAGGAGCGATCGAAAGTACCGTAAGGTTCTTAAAGAGTACATCCAGAATCTGCCTTCGGAAGATTGACCTCGTTTCTCAAGCTCCTTTCGAAAGGAATTGTTGAGGATGACGAAGATGACGACATTTTTGCAGAGCAAGCCGCCGGGGAGTTAGGATTGCGAGATGTCTCTCAGAGCAGCTTCGTTCCTACGCAGCAAACCAGTTCATGCTCGTGGCATGTCCAGTGGACCAGATCGATGAGCAGATTCGGCTATGGACATCAGTTATCCAAAGCGATCATCGCGATATTTTCTCACGACTTGGTCTGAACACACAGCAGGCATGCATTCTTGTGGCGCGGTACAGGCAACCCGTCATAAAGTATGACCAAGAAGGTCTGTGACTATAACTCCGACAGCAGCCTGCAATTTTCGTGGGAGCTTTACAATGGCGATGACCAAAGAGATCTCCGTTCCGACTCTTTTCATTCCTATTCATGGGACTGAGAAGGGACTCGGTTGTTACTATGTTGCAGATTCGCACTTTGTAGTCATCCAGTTTGCAACAGGGACTTGGGCGATTGAGGATCACGAGCATACCAGGTCGAGAGCACGGGAATTGTTCATGTCAGATGACAAGTCGAGGTCTCACGTCCTTGCGTGGGTGGTGTACTGCATGAGTCCTTGGTTTGAGACAAGGAAGTTTAATGTGGCGGGAGGTGGTGAACTAATCTACCATGAGGCCTATCTTAATTTCGGGTGCTTTGACAAGATCTTAGCCTGTATCGACGAGGCTGAGGGATGGTCGGTGCCGTGGAGAGATAATCAGCTTTCGCTTTGCGAGAAAAGAAAGCACGCATGACTTCCAGCACAGATGACTATGGAAAAGCATTTCAACAAGAAGAATGATCGACATCGATGAACTAGAATCAGAAAAGCAAGAGAGAACCTGCTGTAGCACTACAACGACCAAATCCACCAGCAAGCAACGACAACAAACAGCTCAAGGAAGAGAAAAGCAAGCAAAGGAAAAAAAAAAAAGTACCTCTAAATTGGTTGCGTGCTTGTGCTTCGCATGGCTCAATAAAAAACTGCCAATGAAATCTCTTGGGCTGGATTTCCACTTTGTTACGCCAAAATGCAGTAAACGAGCAGTAACTCGCCCCGCGACGCCAAGGGGGCCCGAGGAAATCAAAGATCAATCAAGCAGAACATACTCAATAATGCCGCAGGACAGTGATCACGCAATCACCTGGAGGTAACGCGCAAAACTATGAGCTTACTGACAAGAGCGACGTCTGCAGCTTTGGAGTGGTGTTGCTGGAGCTCATCACGGGGCAAAAGCCTGTTGTTGAGTAATTTTCAACTATAAAAAAAGATGGCACCATTTTCATGCATGCCTCAGTGTACTACCACCACTCATACAAGAGCGCAGCATCACGCATCTTAAACCCTAGAAGCCGCAAAAAACCAGCGCTCAAGAAATCGGTTAGTTCGCCAGCCAGAGCGTTAGACTGTCTTGGCTTGGAAAAAAGGAGACCAAGTTGAGACAGAGTGAAACCAGACCAAGCTTGATTTCCCGCTTGATATCAAGCTTGATTGAGAGTGTGTAGATACGATTGATCGAACAGCATGATAACAAAATCGTGCTCAAGAATGAAATGCACAAGCTTTCCTTTGCATCATTTGAGATTATAGCAATTGTTGAGGTGAGCTATAATGCTATCCAAAAACTGGCTCATTCCTTTCTCCTTTTTAAAAGCATTGTGGAGTTGACGAAGCAAGGCGAGATTTCTACAATGTGCTACTCGCTGATTGGCTAAAGCTGTGCTTTTGTCGTCTAATCGCTGGATGTAAGTTGAAGTGGGGAATATGCCACTGACGTGAGGAGCATCGCCACCGTCCGTCGCCTTCCAATTTTTGAATATCCTGGGGCATTTAATGGTCGCCTCCATTTTACGAGGTCACGGGACCCGCCAACGCGAATCCCCGCCGTCGGATCTCCCCATCGACGGCTCCCCTGCCCCGGCCAAGTGCCTCTAGTTGTTCTTCCCGGCTATGGTGGCCACGGACTCGATGCCATGGAGGCGTCTAGCAGTCAGCGCTACCGCGGCGCCATTCTTTTGTGGATCTTCGCCTACATTCATCCCGGCAATGGCTAGGTAGCGCACCGGCGGCTCGAAATCTCCAGGTATCGATCGAGAAGATCGCCTCGATCCAGCCAAGATCCAAGACTCCGGCATGGTAAACAATGGCACCTCGGCAGATTTCACGAATCCGAGCATGAGCAGGGTCGGCCTCGGCTATGGCATCGCAATCGCAGTCGGGATTCTCGTGCTCGTCTCCACGATCATGCTCGCCTCCTACGTTTGCGTCAGGGTTCACGGCAGGGCGCAGCTCAATCGCGCGGCGGCAGCGGCGGCGGCGGCGGCACAGCGGCAGCAGCAGCAGCAATCCAGCAGCAGCTCCGCCAGAGATCGCAGCGATGGGGAGTGGACGATCAGTGGCTTGGACCAGGTAACGCTGGAATCCTACCCCCGGATCGTCTTCTCGGCGCAGCAGCCACTGCCGCATCCGCAAGACACCGCTTGCGCGATCTGCCTGGCGGATTATCGCGAGGCGGAGATGCTGCGCGTTCTTCCCGACTGCCGCCATGTCTTCCACGTCCAGTGCATCGATTCGTGGATGCGCCTCCAGGCAACGTGCCCGATGTGTAGAACATCGCCACTCCCGACGCCCCAGGCGACGCCAATCTCCACGCCACTCTCGGAGCTCATCCCTCTCGCCAGGCATCCCAGGTAGAGAAATCTCGAGAAAATCTTGCTAGAACTCTCGCCATTCTTTGTATGATCCTCCCTCTCAACGAGAGCTCTTCCATGATCTAGATGGCCTTCATCGCAGTGGCGCTGCTCTCCTCGATCGTGATGAGATCCAGGAAGCGTCGCTTGGCTTGGAAATAGGGGCTGAGCGCTGGGGTGTGATCCAGATCGTAGCGCTCGTTCAAGAACACCACCATCCTTCCCAGGCTCATCTTCATGGTGAAGAATCTCTTGTCGGATCGCAGCAAGCTCTCGAGATCCTGGCGCTGCTCGTCAAGCCCCAGCTCCTGGTGGAAGTCGTGAAGATCCGACACCGCCGCGCTCTTGGATCTGGTGAGGCTGAGGAACTCGTGGATCACGCTCATCTTGCGGTGCCGCTCCAGCTCCTTGTTCACGACCGAGAAGCGCGATCGATCGTAGGGCGAGATCATCGGCTGCCGGTATAACCTCGCCAGCTCCTGTGGCGATTGGATCGTCTCCATGCCGCCATCGTTCTCCAGTGGGATTATTCCACTTCCAGCTCCAAACATTTCCTCCTCTGGAACCTTGCGGAGCGTCGCTAGGGTCTTCTCTCGCGCCGTGATGGCGAGCTCTGGATCCCAGCTTACGAGCCGCAGCCTCCCCCAAAGCAATCGCGCCCTGTCCCAGTGGAAGAAGCTGGGATTGTGGGAGAAGACGCGCGTGAGCTCCGGGAAATCGAAGCACTCGCATCGCAGGAGCTTGGCGGTGGGCAGCATTTCTTTCTGGGACAGCATCAAGAGCTTCCGGATCACAAAGGCCGCGTAGGGCTCCTTGGGGATCTGCCGCTCCTGCGAGACGAGATCCCTGGCGGTGCTTGAGAATTTGACGTCGCAGCTGACCATCGGGAAGGCGCCAGGGTTTTGGAGGAGAAACCTGTGCACTGCCTCTGCATCCATCCCCAAGTCGCTGCCCAACGCGTAGCAATGCTCTACCGGCATCGTCCATCGGTGATGGAGGACGATCGCGCTGCGAATCCGGAGAGCCAGGCGTTGGGCCTTCTCCAGCTCGCGCATTTCCCAGTGAAAAAAAGGAAAAAATTAGGGTTCTTGGAAAAAAACTTAGGGTTCTTGCGATGGAGGCAATGTTTCAGCGTGCGAGGCACGCCATGGAGATCGCGCTAGAGAAATCGAGGGAGCAGGCGCGGGAATTGGCGATGGAGGCCTCCAAGAGAGCCGATCAGATCAAGGATCTCGCGCTCGACAAGGTGAGGGCTTCTGTGGCTGCTGCATCGCCGCCCGACGCTTCTGCTACTAGAATCGATGAGGAGGAATACCAGCGCTATGGCATTACTCCGGAGCTCAGGGATTTCGTCCAGGGATTGACGATCGATACATTCCGGGATTTTCCCATGGAAGACCAAGAAAGTAAGTCGGGCTTTAGCATTGCTTTCTCAATCCCGATTAACAAAGGTCTAGTTTTTTCCCATCGTTTCCAGTCGATGGACACAGTGGCAGCAACGATGAAGGTTTCGACGTTCTTTCGCCATGGAAGGAACACCATGCATTACTCGTTCTCTCTGCTGTGCCGGTAATTCTTTACACTTTAGTAGTGGGAAGTGTTGGTTGATTGATTCCCACTCATTTCTTTTCTTTTCTTTTCTTCAGGAGATCTCCGAATTTCGCTACAAGCTCTGTCCGAAGCACATCAAAGACAAGCGCTTCTGGAGGATCTATTTCACGCTCGTAGATGGACACCTTGCAAAGTAAGAGATATTCTTATTGCCTCTATCTGTCACTGTTGCCTTTTGGACGAGGTAGTGCTCACTCATTCCTTTGAAACCCACTGTTTTTCTTTGCAGGTACAATGCTCCTGCTCAGGATCCTCCTCGTGTGGAATCTCAAAGCGATGGGCATCACACACCAGACACGCTGGCCTTGGCACCTCCGGCCACTGCACCAAAAGAGCTTGAGACGCCAGGAAAATCCATTGTGGATGATGAAGATCTCGACAATTATTTGCTGGGTGCCCTTGACGGCGACGACGACGAACATTCAGGTACAAAAGGAAAAGAGCCCCCCTTTTTTTTTGCTATGATCAAATCGCCCACTTAGCACTTACATTCTGTCGCAGACGGGGATGATGGAAGCCTCGACGCTGAATTCGAGCAACTTGTCAAAGATACGGTAAGCTCTGCAATGCCACTCGTCAAAACTCCTCTGATAATTGCGCAGGCAATGGATAGCGATACTGAAAAGCTGTGATCGTGGATAACTCCGAACAGTGTGAGTGTGTGCGTGCGTGTATATGAGTGTGCGCATATAGATATATAGACATATATACGTGCATCATGTCAGGGGGCATCTCGTTTCTTGCATCTTGCTCCGACGCGTAGCGCGACTCGAACGCAAGTGGACATATTCTCTCCCCAGACTGTGCACAGCAGCAACAAGGTCCAGGTTTGTTGTATGAATTCCTCATCAAAGTCTATTAAACAACACTGCACATTTTAGCAGGGATTTGGAACGATGTTTTTTTATTCTCATGCGCAACGATTTGCAAAAGCTTCCACGAATGTTTGAAGGTTTTTTGTTCTCGTGTAAGTAAGAATGGCGTGGAACCAACCATTAACAAAGATTGATTAGAAAAGTTATATAAGTTGCCTAACTTTGAGGTTAGAACTCAATAGAATATGTTTCCGGCTTGACTCTGGGGTGTTCAGAAAGAAGCCAGATTCTCCCCCGAAGTCCACCGCAACAAGACAATAATTTGATGGCACGAAGCTTCACCTTTGTCGCTGTATCCAGATACGCAAGTGTCACTCGTGGCCGAATTCGCCTGATAATTGAGCATGTACGCGGAGAAAGGCTGTATTTTGCTACGGTGGGTGATATCATCGCGAGCTGGCACACAAGAGAAAAACCAAAACAACACGGAGCTCTTCCGGACTGTGCGCGGTACGTTTTTTCCATGCCAAGGGATCTTCTTTTCCACTCTGGAGATGGCTGACAGTCGGTCGGTCGAGGTTTTTGCTTCGCTCTTTTGATTCTCTCTCTCGTTGTAATCCTTATCCACCTCACTTTCGACGAAAAAAGGAGGCGATAAATCCAATTTGGCATATTTGGTTTTTATTTTGGATAGTTTTTTCTATCTATTTTGTGGGCCTGCAGGTGTGGCTGGACCGAAACAATACACATCACCCTTTGAGGCCATGTGTAGAAAAAATTTTAACACACTTTTTTCTGTGGATAGCTCGAAGAAGAACACTGAAACACCGACAAAAGCAACCAAACCATAGAGGGGATGATGAATCATGTTCAATGTGGCCGGTATATTCACAACAATAATGTCGCAACATCTGTCAAACAAAGGAATTTCCCTTGCTTTTCTACCCGACTCTTTCAATACTTTTCTACTCGAGTCAGGTGTGCTTAGAGAGATTAAAAAAAGGAAAAAAAAAAGAAAAAGAAAAAGGAAATGGAGAGGCATCCAGATAAGACTTCTGCGTACGCCCATGCTCTCCTGTGGAGATCCCAAAAGTTGCTTCAGGCCCTTTGTGGTGGTCACGGGTGTAAAAAAAGTAAACAAAGAAATCTCCTTTGACATTTTTATATGAATATTAACATTGTAAAAAAGTCAAAAGAAGATTTAAAACATGTCAAAATTTTTAGAAAGGTGAGTGCTTTGCTATATCATGTACGTGCTACACCACCACCACCACCACCACCGCCACTACCAGCAGCAGCAATAATAATTCAGATAAAAATGCTGCCGCCACCGTCGCCAATGAAATGGTCAAAACATTGAAAGTTCTCTTCGCAAAAGGTTTCTATGTTCTTCCGGGCTTTGCACATGATTCTCCTTTGCATGCAACTAAATTATTGCAACCCACGCTTGCTTATTCCTCCATCTATTTTGCATTTTATTTAAGCTTGTGTATCTCATGACCGCGACACAAGAGGCAAGGAAGCAAAGCGAGGTAGTTTTTTAAGAGATTGCAAGCTTGTGGCTTTGGGGGATCTTAGAGATCCCAAAATCAAGCCAAAGAAGAAGCCAATCACAAGCGCCGCCTATATTCATTGGGAGGCGCGCCCAAACTTGTTACCAAAAAAATATTACGCGATCCACAAAACCGACAAGAACCATATAACTAATAACGAATTTGTTGACACTGCGTACGGAGATCCTTCCAGAGCCTGGTGGACACACATGTGTACGGCGTACGGGCGCGGCATCTAGGCAATCTGTACGGCGGCGCTTGGCCGGGGAAGCAAACAAAGCACACAAAGATGCCGCTGCCAGCACTCGCAATGGGAGGCATGGTGACGTGGCATGGCACATGGACACGTGTCCGCGGCTGGCGCGCCGGACCGGCATCTGCCGTGCACGCCTCCGCTTTTCACTTTGGAGAGTTTTACATTTACTGCGCACGGGCAAACCAAACTCACCCGTCCGTACGCTCCTGGCCCCTGGAACCGGATAAGGGCCAGCGGTACAACCGCTTGGTAGCAGAAGAACAGAGTGGAGACTTCTTCTTTATAAGCGGCGCCTCGTCTCATTCTCAATCACCATCAATCCTTCCATCAATCTCTCTCATTAGCTACATTCGTGGTCGATCGCGAGCTAGGGATCGAGCAAAGCACGCGCTTCTCTCGATCCGTGCATCCACACCGATCGGTCGCTCGATCGAGGCGGTGACGCAGGAGATTCTTGTTCCTGGCACGATATCGGGATCGATTCTCTCCATCGGCTGCTCGGTCGATCGAATCTCGCGATCTTTCCTCCTCCTTGCGCCAGCGGTGCCCCGATTCTTCTCTCTTCTCTCCATCAAAATGCCGATTGCGACGCGCTCCACCATGCCTAGCAGCACGCCAGCGGCCGAGTTCTTCGCGGCCTACCTCCAGGACTCCGTCACGCAGAAGCTCGATCTCAATGCCTTCGTGTGGCCCGAGGGTCTCCGCCCCGAGACGAGCAGCGGCGGCCAATTCAGCAACGACGTCCCGGAGATCGACATCTCGGCCGCAATGCTGGCCAAGAACGAGGGCGTCCGCGCCGCCGTGGCCGCCAAGATCTCCAAGGCGGCCAAGGAGTGGGGATTCTTCCGCATTGTCAACCACGGCCTCCCGCCGGATATGATGAGCCGGGCCGAGCGCCAGGCGCACAAGTTCTTCGCGCTCCAGCTGGATCAGAAGAGGAGGGCCGCCGGGAGCTCCTCCAACCCTTTCGGCTACGCGGCCGCCGGCCCCAGCCGCGCCATCATGCGCTCCTGGCACGAGACGCTCTACATGCTGTGCAATCACGCCCGGATCGATAATCTCGCCAACAAGGTCTGGCCTTCCGCCAAGGAGGCGTCGGATCGCAAGGAGTTTTGGTAAATCTTCTCCTCTCCATTGAGAATCTCCTCTCCATGCGTGTCGGTCTCTCCTTCTCCTCGCCCGCTTTCTTCTGTTCCATAGACGAGAATATATTCCGGAATCTTTCCCGACTCTCCCCTCCTTGATTGGATCCTCTCTAAAGCAAACGAATCTCTCTGACTCTCCCGTGCTTGCTTTTCATTGCAGCATGGCTCTATCCGATTACACGACCGCCATGAACAAGCTTGGGCTCCAGCTCCTGGAGCTCCTCCTCCAGGGGCTGGGCGTGGATCGCAACAAGCTCACACGGCACTACTCTGTAGAGGGCTCCTCCTCCGCCCGGATCAACTTCTATCCGCCATGCCCAAAGCCCGACGTCACATTCGGCCTCCCTCCACACACCGACTCGGGCACTCTCACCATCCTCCACCAGGACGCGGTGGGCGGTCTCCAAGTCTGCCGCAATGGCAAGTGGATTGGAGTCCAGCCCAAGCCCAATTCCTTCATCGTCAACATTGGCGATTGCCTCCAGGTACTGCCCTCTTTGCTGATTCCTGGCCATCATTCTCACTTTGGTTTTCTTGCACCAGGTGTGGAGCAACAACATCTACAAGAGCGTCGAGCATCGCGCGCTGGTCAACAGCTCCAGGGCCCGCATGTCTCTGGCATTTTTCTACAATCCCACCGATGACACCATTGTTGCTCCGATCAAGGAGCTGACCAGCGCCAAAACTCCCGCCGTTTACAAGCCATTCAGCTGGGCCGAGTATCGGCTCTATGCGGGAACACACAAGAGCAAAGTTTTGAACGCCATTGACCATTTCAAAGTCCGTCAATGAGGCGGACCAACGGCTGGGATTGGATCTCTCCATCTGATCCCACGGACATGAAAAGCTGTAGAGGCAAAAAGAATTTTGCAACTTTTACTAATAAAAACTGATCGTTTGATCTCAACCGCTAAGCTCTCCTGGGCCGTTGGATTGGTACGTCGCCAACACCCGACAGGGTATCTTGCAGTGTGGCGACTAACAATCTTAATCGCAATCTTTCAATTCCCAATTCTTTTGTATGACAAAATAGTCAACATTCCACCCCCGAAAATATATGACACGTTTGACTTCTTGCGGAGACATTGACAAATAGCCTGAATTTTATTGATGTTTGTCAGTACGAGTGACCATTGTCACAAATCCATTCTAGCTTTTAAAGATGCTTTTCTTTTCTTCTTTTCTTTCACCGCCGTTGCTGCGTGTATGCTACAAATGGCAATGCTGTTACTGTTCAGTGGGAACCGTGTCACATCTCGCTCGAATTTGAAAGAAAAAATGAGAAAGGAAAGAAAATGTGGTTTATTCCACTCAATAATTCTCCTCAAAGAGCAATAATTTTTAGTGCGTTCTAAAGGGTTGACATTTTCACAATCATAAGGTCAACTTCTTTTTACAATCAGAATAGTCAGCGTGTTCCCTTTTTTTGTTGGAGTTTCCTTAATGGGTTGGAATCTGGAACACAGTAGGTCCTTGTATTCAAAATGCTAGAAAGAATTTGCTAAAGCCAACCATGATCCAGAATCATGGCGGTCAACGTCCAGATTCTTCGTCCGAATTGCATGATGAACACCAGCTGCACATAAGAATGCAGTCTTAACGGCTGAATCTGGCACAAATGGCATGTTTTGGAGAAGATCCTGAGCATGATTCAGCTGTCCAGACTTGCATAACACGTCAACCACGACACAGAAATGCTCCTTCTGAGGAGATATTCCATGCTCCAAACTCATCAATTTGAAACACTTGCAACACTCTCGAACCATTCCGGCATGGTTGCATCCCACAATTCCAGAGTGAAAAGTTGCCTCGTCAGGCTTGACGCCCTCAAGAGAAAAATCACAAACCAGGGAATCAATTTCTCTTTGTAACTCCTTTAGATGCCCTTGATGGGCATATGCGGCAAGCATAGAATTCCATGACACAAGATTTCTCTCTGGCATGCTGTCAAACATTAAGACTGCCAAATCTATGTCATGGTTTTGGATCATTGTGTTCCAGGAAAATAAGTCTTTTTGTTCCATTCTACCAAAAAGAAGCTTTGCTAAATCTATAGAACCATTCCTGCAATATGCTGCGAGCAAAGCATTCGTGGCCACAAAATCTTTCGCTGGCATCTTTTCGTACAAAATTCTAGCCTCGTCTAGCTGATAGTTTCTGCCGTACTCTACAATTAAGATCGTACAAGAAGATGGATCCTCTTGTTTTCTTGATTCAAGCATTTCAATCGCTCGTTCTTGGTGTCCGTTCCGGACAAATCCTTGAAGCATTGCTCTCCATGCGATTGGATCGCACTCTGGCATTCTCAGAAATATCTCCTCCGCATCTCGAATTTGGCCGATCTGAGACAAAGCTTGAATCATTGTAGTGAATGACACGATACTTCTGTGATTCATGGCCTGGAAGAGATCTCTTGCCCGATCAATTTGCCCGTTTTGGGCAAACGCCTGGATCATAGCATTGCAGGTAACGAGATCACAAATGGGCATTCTGTGGAAGAGATTTTCCGCCTTTTGGAGCTCGCTATTCTCGCCATAGGCAGAGATCACCGCATTCCACGCTTGGATGTTTTGCTCCGGCATTCCATGCCGTAATTCGTCTGCCAAATCCAGGTTTCCCATGCGGGCATGTGCTGCAATCGCAACGGTACATGCGATTGCATCAACGACGGGCATCGCTTGGAATGTGGTGATGGCCATTTCGAACATTCCATTTTCAGAATATGCTTGCATCATGATCGTGAACGACTGGAGATTCCTCTCTGGCATCTCGCTGAACAAACGTCTTGCTTTCTCCAAATGCCCTTGCTTGGTATATTCTGCTATCAATGTGTTCCAAGATGCCAGATTCCTTTCTGGAGCTGCCTCAAACAGAGCAGCGACTTCTTCTAGGGAGCCATTTCGAAGAAACGCCTTTAAAAGAATATTCCAAGACTCCACTGTCTTTTCTTTCATTACCTCAAAAGTGGATCTCGCATGACACATTTGCCCATTTTCGGCATATACGCCAAGCATCGCATTGCAACACACGAGATTCCATTCGGGCATTTGGCCAAAAATCTCTCTTGCTCTAGACAGGTTCCCTGTCCCGGAATATGCTGGCAAAACCGCTGTGCAAGACACTAGATTCCTAAAAGGCATATGCTCAAAGGCATTGATTGCGTCCTCCAGATACCCAGCTTGGGCAAACGCGACAACCATGGTAGTCCACGAAACCATCGACTTCATGGGAATTTGATCAAACAGCTTCTTACTCTCTTTAAAGTTTCCAGCTTGAGCATAAGCTTGCAACATCAAGTTCCAAGAGACGATAGTTTTTTCTGGCATGCTTTCGAGCGTCCACCTTGCTTGATCGAGATGCCCATTTTGGGCATAAGCGCCCAGCATGATGTTCCACGAGTAAGTGTTCGGGTGCTGGATGCCCTGGAAAACAATGCGGGCATCTTCGACGCTGGAACACTTGGAAAACATGAGAACAGTCAAGTTCAAGAGGTAGATGTCCTTCGAGTGAGCGTCACTTGCGAAGATCTTGGAGTAAACTTGCCGCCCGGTGATGAGATCCTTGGATTGAGCACAGTTTCTCAACAAGGAGGCCAGATCTTCCCTGGATAGCTCGTTGTTTCCAAGAAGAGCTTGAGCCATCAACTTTGCCTGGAAAGCATCCTTTTATGTCACCAGTTTTGGAGAAGGAAAGAAAGAGAGCTTACGTTGTGGTTGCTTTGGAACATACTCAATCGACAACATACAAACGTCCTGGAATGACGAAGTTTTACTCCGGCTCAAGCTTAAAAACAAAAAGAAGTGGAAGCTCACCACACTGCCGGACGCAAATCTCTCGAACTCGCTTCAATGCTCCCGTCACAGCGTCGCTGTACACTCTCGTCTCGATGCTGCCCTCGAGGTAGACGTTGGTCCTGCAACAAAATCGAATTAGACTTGGATCTCTGAAAAAACAAAGATCAAAGATGGAAGGAAGAGTGACCCTTTGGTGAGCTTTCTGGCCATGTCTAAAAGCCCGAGCTTGAAGACGCAAACTCGGTGCCACTGCGTGAAGCTCCGCTCCGCATAAGTTTCCCAATGCTCTCCTTCCAGCTGCTTCCTGTTGTTGCGAAGTCCGCCAGTTCCCAGCGAGAAGATCACCACCGAGACATTGGTGGCAAAAACTCTCTCCACTGGTTTCTGTCCCACTGATCCAACCAAAATCGCCTAGGAAAACGAAAGGAGAAAAAGGAGAGAACCATTTGATCAATCCCGACTGATCAAGCAAAAAATGAGAATCACGGGCTACCTTGTAAATGCCGGGCCCATAGTACTTGTCCGGTGACGCGAAAACAGCCTTCTTCATGTATTTGGTCTCCTGTGGATGTGGTTCTTCCTCGTCCGTGTCCGCGGCGGGCAACCCGCAGTCCCGAATCTCCTCTCCATGATCCTCTTCCACCTCTTCCACTTTGGTGCAATACGCGAACCGATCCTTTCCAAAACCTGTACCTCTGCTGCTGGCGGCCAGGAATCTACTGCAGCTAGATCGCAAACCTCCATTCCGGAGCGCGCGGCACAGGTGCAAGAGCGCCATAGCTCGAAATGCCCTGCTTTTTTAGGGCTTTCGGGAGGTGGATATTCTCCGGATATTTGTTTTTGCCATTTGAAATTTCCCGCCCTTTAACATTAGGGCTACCAAATATTCTCTAATCAAATAATACCATATTTGGTTCCTCTTCAATAAGGAAATATCCATACCTGGTCATCTGTAAGCTTATAAAAACCCTATTCTTGTAAACACTAACACAGACCAGTCAAGATGAAAGTTATTAGCTTTATTGTGTTCTTCCTCATTGCATGCTTTCCACTATCACAAGCTATTAGATCCAATCCCAGTGAAGATCTTGGTGCCGTCCAGGGACTGTTTATCTTTGGAGATTCAGCTTTAGATGCTGGGCAAAACACTTACATTCCAGGCTCTAGGATTATGAGTGCTGTTCCACCATATGGGAAATCATACTTTGACAAGCCAACAGGTCGCTGGACAGATGGCCGCACAATAGGGGATTTTCTTGCTCAGGCTCTTGGGCTTCCGTTGCTTCCACCATACCTCCGACCTGGAGCCAACTTTAGCAGTGGCGTCAACTTTGCATCTGCCGGAGCAGGCTTGTTGGATGCAACAAATGCTCATCAGGTAAAACCATAGTTTCTTATGATCTAGAAAAGATGCTGATACTTCTTTTGTATTAGGGAGTTGTTTCCATGAAGCAACAGCTGCATCAATTCCGTAATATCACAGATGGCTACAAAAGGGTCAAAGGAGTAGACTCTACTCAATTCTTGAAGAGCTCAATAGCTATGTTCAGTATGGGAGCGAATGATATAGCTAATAATGCACCTGGAAACTCACTATTCTTTCAAGAGATGTTAGAAACCTATTCTAATGCCATCCAGGTAAACACTATGCTATGTTGTGATTAAATATTTATAATGTTTGGATTTGCAGGAAATTTATAATTCAGGTATTAAATATATTGTCCTTCTTTTAGTACCACCGTTGGGATGCACTCCAAACTTGAAATCCCTTTCAGCACAAAATGGAAATACAAACTTAACTCCAGAAGGTTGTGTCGGTGGTATCAACTCTATTGTCAATTATTATAATACCCAAGTTCAGAATCTTGCTATTAAAATTCACAATGACTACCGCGACTTGAACATTGTGACGTTGAACCCAACAACTATTGTCTTGACTATCTTGAGCAACCCTGATAAATATGGTAAGTTCAACTGATTTTTTTTTTCTTTTCTGATTTCTGATATGATCCAATGATCTCATCTCAGGTTTTAAAGAAGCAGAGAACGCATGTTGTGGTGGTGGTCCATTTAACGCAGCAGAGTTTTGTGCTGATGTTGATAAACATGATTGGAAGCCAGATCACAAGAACAAGTACCAACAATTTATATGTAGCAATCCAAAGGACTACCTATACTTTGATAGCAATCACTTCACTGAAGCTGGCAATTGGATGATGTTGAAAAACTTCTGGTATGGATCTTATGCTATAGCAAAGCCTAGTAGTCTTAGTTTCTTCCTCTCTAGATTTACAATCCCAAATCCACCACCAAAGCCTTAGAAAGAGTTTAGTTTTTTATATTGCAAATAAATATAAATAGGTTTCTTCTTTGGTAAACTCTTTAAGTTTTACATGATTTTCAACAATGACTTAACCTCAAATTTTCTCCTAATTCGCATCTCTGGTTTAAAGTTTTCTCGCAAATTCAGTGGTTCTCTTAGTGCTAGCATCAACATCCAGAGCAAACTTGGAGGATTTATTCGAGCAGCTTCCCGGAACACCTTCAGGATTTTCATCCATGCGCTTCCTTGACTAAGAACTCCGCCAAGAGGAACGTTTGCAATCTCCTGGCAGCGACAAGCAAGCAATCTCCCCTTAAATCGCAAAGCATCTCCTCCAATCTCGACAACTCCACTGCTCATAGCTTCACGAGGATGAAAACGGGCCATCTCTCCCCCATCGAGAGATCCCCCGAGCTAGCAGAATAAAAAAGCCATTCGGGGGCGTGTAGTTCTCACTAGACATTAACTCTAGATATAGCAACATGCGGACACGAACTTCTCCACATTCAGCCGCCTGTTCTCCATGACCAACATCACTGCTGAGATACGCTCCTTGCTCATCCCGGACAACTCTATCCTCGACAGCTAACGTGGGGACCAACCTCGAGGCACGGGCTTGACATAAGAGATCATGGAGATGACCAATGGCTCGCAAAAGAGCTTCTCCCCGCTGCGAGATGATGGCGTACAGGGCCAAGATGAGCGACATGAGGTGATTGCCCAGGCCGAAGGTGCATAGCGATTGAGCAGCGCTATAACAACAAACGCCACCTTAGTGTGTCATGAATTTCCCAAACCATCAACCACTAACCCTGCTTTTGGGGTGTTTAGCGTGTTGGGCTCAAAGATTTCCAATAGAAATTTGACTTTAGGGAAGGAGTGCTTGCATTAAGATCTCCCCAAGAAAAAGAGATTTGCAACAAGAGAGTGTAGGCCAAGGCAAACGACACAACTCCAGGTGGAAATAGAAAAACTAGGATGCACAGGTTTCAAAACTCTTTTATCGCAGGAACCCTGAAAAGTTGGTGTGTAGCACCTCAACACAGATCAAGCTGGTGCAGCGTCTGCCACGAAAGGCATGCACTCGCCCGCGCAAGCTGAGCCAATGCATCGATCAAACACACGTAGTGCTCCAGGCTCGCAGCACCTCCAGCAAAATCCCTCCCCCGCAACTGCGGCAAAGAGTGCCACCGCATGGACATAATGCACAGCTTGCCTGCAAGCGGCCAGGAGAGACACGAAGGTCTGCCTAGATCCCTTGCAGCTGCATCATGCCGAAGAGCTGCAAAGTCTGCCCCAGCGCTGCTGTAGTGAACAGGCTGAGGCATAGGCAGAGATGAGCGTGCTCCCAAGTGGCAAAGTGCCGCGAGATGACCTGGCAAATCTTAAAACCAAGAAGCAACGGTCTTTAGTTTTTTCCATCCTGCATGAGCTGTGAACTGGATCAAAACAGTGTAAAGACGCAAAACCTGTTTCATGGTTTTGAGGCTGACGAAGCTCCCCTTCGAATGTGCTTGCAAGAAGTGCCAGCTGGAGCGGCGGCTCGACGCGGGCCTTTTTTTGGGAATTTTTTAGCATATGGACCTGCTGGTTATGCTATCTTCATCGCTAACTTTGAGTTCCGGTTGAAGGGAGGGACAGATGTCTCCAGGATGGTGGCGAAGCTGGAGCAAGTGTTGGCGACGAAGCTCCAGGACGAGGAGGAGAGGCAGTGCATGAGAGCAATCCATTAGTCGGCTTATCTCATTACTACCAGCAGGTCGAGATTGGAAGGATGTGGCGATTATTCTGGCGGGCGAGGTGCAATGCACAGGTCCACAGGGGGAACGAGGGGAGCAAAGGGAGCCTTCAGATGATGGCCGGGTACGCACAGGACACGGAAGTAGCGAGGAGGATGATGGAGGAGTGGAAGGTGAAGTTTGGGAGCCATAAAGATCTCTGCTGATGGGAGTTCTTTTGTGTTCTTCTTGACACAGTTAAGTGAAATTCCACTTGACTTCGCAGAATCCGTGACTGCTCCTCCCATAATCCGACGCTGGAGAGATGTGGAGACTCGTGAAGATTGACGACAGAGACAAGGCAGCGTACTCTCTCATGTCTTGGGACGTCCGGCAAGCGGCCAGGAGTCGCTTCCGACCCCATGCTAGTCACCATTGCCAGTGCGTTGCTAAGCTGGTTGGCCCGGCCGAGCATGTCTACCACGCACGCCTTGTGCTCACACCTCGGACTCACTCCATACTTGGAGAGCATTGCGTCAAAGTACCTCCTGCCTCTAGTCACCATGCCGGCGTGGCTGCACGCAGCGAGGAGCGTCACACTGTCCGGCTCAACGCCTTCGTCGTCCACAGCCCGGTGAAACACATCGAGGACCTTCTCAGCGTCGCCCTGGCGGCTGTATCCAGCTGCGAGAGCGTTCCATGCTACCAGATCTGGAGTTTGAGCTGCGTCAAACGCCTGCTGTGCGTCGATCATACTTCCGGCTTTTCCAAACACGTCCACCATGCTGTTGGAGAGCATAGTGTCTTTCTCGCTCCATATCTGTATACTTCCCCAACGATGGCTTTAGTGACTTCCAGCGATCCCTCAGAAGATCTTCCCTTGAGCACGGGGACGAAGACCCGGGCATCTAGAGCACAGAAAGCCGGACCGAGTTTCAGTTTCATTCCCGCAAAGAGTTCCAGAAATTTTCTCCATCACCAGAGTCCGCGTACCACATGTCCACGAGACTATACCACGGTGTGGCATCCCGTCGAAAACTCCCTGAAAACTCCCACACTTGCATACATCTCCATCAAACTACTGGCCAAAACGAAGTCCCAATCCCTTTCTCCAGCGACGACTCTTTGACAGCCTTTCCATCCACCTGAGTGGACTCTTCCATTGCAGCGGCGCGCATGCAAGCCTTGTGTGCCGCTGTGACGATGCTCGAAGACGTGAGCTCAGGAACCTCTCCGCAATGATCAACACAGGCCAGAACCAGCGAAGTCCACGACATGACGTCGTGGGAGCACATCTGGTCGAAAACTCCTCGAGCATTCAGCTAAGGTGCTAGCCTTAGTCGACGATCACATCCGTCATACAGTATTGTCTCAAATCTTCATGAACTGCCAGTGTTCTCTCCAAGCTTGACCAGTTTTCCATTAACTTCCACGGCCCCTTCCTTGGCCGCCAAGCCGTGACAGGCCTTCGACGCAGTAACTGAAAGGGCCACTGTTTTCCATCTGAGAAAACAAATCCAAAACTACCTCTGCTTGCGATCTCCACGTATCCCAGCATGGGCACCGTCCGGCTGTGGCAAATCATGCTCCTAAAAACTCTGTCAGCCTCCACCATGCTTCCACACTTGGCATACACGTCTACGAGAGTGTTCGCGAAAAACTCGTCCCTCTGGTATCCTTTCTCCGCAGCTTGGATGTGAATTGCCATCCCTTTCTCCAGAGGATCCGCTTTCACCATCTTCCCTTTGATGCTTGTGGCTTCTTCTGTCACTGCTAGTCCAATGCAGGCCTTCAAAGTGTCGACAAACGTCAAGGCATCCGCTGTAGTAGCGCTCCCAAAGCTTTCCAGTCCCACCACTAGCGTGTTCCATGATACCACACTGTGGCAAGGCATCCTGTCGAAAACTCCTCGGGCATCTGTTTTGGCAAACATATCGTTTCCAACGAAAACATCCACGCCCACTTTCATAGCCGTTCCATCCAAAGCTTCTCCCCACTTTTCTCTCCCAAAGCATCGAGCATCCGGCTTGATCTCTCCAGCTTCTATGCTATCGAAAAACTCGAGAGCTAGCTCACTCTCCCCGTCTTCTACGTACCCGAGCACTATAACAATCCACGAGATCACACTGTGCCGGGAGCTTGGCGTACATTTCCACCAGCGAGCTCGCTACGCAGCTCGAGAGTGGATTCTTGTGCTTTGTTGTAGAGCTTTCAGCTCACCGATGAGTCTCGCTTCTTCTCTGACCGCTAGAGCCGAGCAAGCCTTGACCACCGCGAAGAAAGTAACGGAATCCGGTGCGCAGCCTTGGCTTTCCATCCATGAGAATGTGGCCCAAGATCCAGGCCACTACATTGTGGAAAGGCATCCTGTCAAACCCGGGTCTTCTACTTCCGGTCCACCTCTACACTTACCTGATAATCTACATTTACCTCATAACCAATTCCTCGGCAATCGGGTTTGCATTATTTTATTATCAAACCTTCTACAGTTCCTCCCTCGCAATCCCGATTCTAAGACGATGGGCTCGGATAAATCCACGCCTTGGGTGGCGAGCAAAGCCCTCAAAGAGCACCGTCCAGGCTTCAAGATTGTTAGTAAGCTAGCCACCACAAACTGCGTTGTAATTTGCTTTTTGATTTGGAGTGGCCAGTTCTCTTCTTTGCTTTCATGGACTCAAGCTCGAAGAGAAAAAAAATCTGGATCAGCTACTAGCTAAAGACGACATCCAGTCGATTACACAGCAGCCAGTTTCAAGTCCTCAGCGCCACCGTCTCAAAGCCCTGCGATCGAGTGACAAAAGACGTCCTCTTTGATAAGAACCGCGAGACAACCGCACCAGCTGCTGGCAGACGATCCACGGAGCTCCCACTTTCTTGGACCCAAAGTCCATTTGCTGGAGCAACGCAAGCATCATGACGAAGGGATTAGCAAAGCAAAAGTTCCAAGGAAAAGCTCTTGAGCAAGATAGTTTATACGGCCACCAACATGATCGTTCTTTGTGAAGGTCAAATTTCTCGTTGGACGTAGCATGACTTCCATCTGGAAAAGTATAATAGAAACGAGAAGATGAGAGAAGGCATATTTCTTTCTCTGTGAACTCACCCAGGCTGACGACTCGTCTTGAAGTTTTGATCGCTGAATCCAATCGAGATCACTCCTCTTTGTCCTCGATCGCACACGGCCATCTCAAAGCAGTAGCGAAGCCTTCTGGATGGATCCAGCATATTTCCTGGACGTCCCCACTCGCTTCAATGCCCCAGTTGCTGTAGACTCTCGGCCTTCGACATAGACATTGGTCCTGCAACAAGCCGATACAAAGTTAGGTTCAGGGAAAAACGAAAACTCTCGATCTCTCAGGGAAAAACGAAAAGATGAGCAAGACTAAAGATGGAACGAAAACTGACCCTTTTGGTGAGCTTTCTGGAAAGCCCCAGCGTGAAGACGCAAACTCATTGCCACTGCGTGCTCCGCATAAGTTTTCCAATGCTCTCCTTCAAGCTGCTTCCTGTTGTTCCAAAGTTCGCCAGTGGAATGATATTGGTGGCAAAAATCCTCTCCACTGGTTTCTGTCCCACCGATCCAAACAAGATCCCCAAGGAAAACAAGAAGAGAAAAAAGCATTGAGAACGATTCATCAAATCAAGCAAAAGACGAGAATCACACACTACCTCGTAAATGCCGGGCCTTGTTCATGTATTTGGTGTGGTTCATCCTCGCCCGTCTCCGCGGCTGTCTCAAATCTCCTCGTCATGATCCCTTCCAGTTTGGTGCAATGAGCGAGCCCAGAAACTGTAGCTCTGCTTCTGGCGCCCAAGAATCTAGCAGCTAGATGGCAAACCTCGATTCCGGAGCGCGCGCCATAGCTGCTCTTTTAGGGCTCTTCGCGAGGTGGATATTCCACAGATAATTTTGAGATTTCCCGCCCTGCCAGAAAGCCCTAAAATATAAAAACGTTTAAGAAGGTTTATACGGACGCAAGCGCACTCAAGGCGATCCTTCTGCTTTGCAGCAGTGATTCTTTCTCTGCTGCAATCCTGTGTGAGTGGTGGTAGTACACTGGCGCGTTCTTCAGGTGGTGACGTGATCGCGGCATTATTGAGCGTGACAAAGGTGTGTTCTGCTTGATCTTTGATTTCTGGCCCCCCTCTCGCTGCTTAAACTCTGTCCGAGCCAGGTTCATTGATCGCGTCGCGGGGCGAGTCACTAGTGCCACTACTGCGCTCAAGCGGGTCCTTGGAGCTCGGCTCCCACGGCTTGTACTCGGCCCCTCGGTTCCTCTTCCGTGGAGATCCTTCGCAAGACCTTTCATACCTTTAGTGCCGTGGGAGTTTTTTATTCAGTCATGCGAAGCACAAGCACGCAACCACTTCCGAGGTACTTCTTTTCTTCTTTGCTTGCTTTTCTCTGCCTTTAGCTTCTTGTTGTCGTTGTTGTTAACTTACACTGCTCGTGGATTCGGTCGTTGTAGTGCTACAGCTGTTTTCCAGATTTTACTGCTTGCATAGAAGTGGGATCTTTCTTTTGTCTTTCTGATTTAATTTCTCGATATCGATCATACTTCTTGTTGAAACTATAGTCATCTGTGTTGGTTTCTACGGATCTGAAAACTCAGAAGATGTTGAGCTCTAAGTTTTCTGTCCCAATGCTGCCTCTTGCTGCTGCGTTGCTCCTTTGGGTTCTCGCGACTAATGCCGTGCTTGCAGCTCCCCTTTCTCCAGTTCGCTGCGATGTTGCGACGGGGGCGTGCATGGTTTTCAACGCATATGGAACTTGGCCGGACAGGAGCTTTTGCAAGGTAGGGGAAGAAGCGTTCCCCTCCACGGAGCAGGAGCTGGTTGATATAGTCGCACATGGTGTGAAGAACAGGATGAAGATGAAGGTTGTGAGTAATTCAGCTCACAGCTTTCCCAAGTTCGCGTGTCCTGGAGGGACTTCTGGCCTTGTAATCAGCACGGCAAAATACTCCAGCAGGGTAGTGATAAACGCGAGCTCCATGACTGTAACGGCAGACAGTGGTGTAGAGCTCTCAAGACTTTTACAGGAGATCGGAAGTCATGGCCTGGCTCTTCCTTCGTCGCCTTATTGGAACGGGATTTCGCTGGGAGGGCTGTTAAGCACAGGGTCTCATGGAAGCTCCTTGATGGGGAAAGGAAGTGCTGTCCACGAGTATGTGAAAGCGATGACGATGGTCGTTCCAGCCACAGAGCAGGAAGGGTTTGCGAAAATTGTCAAGATCACTGACCAGGACGAAGACTTTATGAATGCTGCCAAGGTCTCACTCGGAGTTCTGGGGGTGATATCACAGGTGACTTTGTCACTGCAGCCGATATTCAAGAGATCAGTGACAAAGTTTGAGGCATCCGACGTAAATCTGGAGAAAGAGATTCTAGAGTTTGGGAAGAACCACGAGTTTGGAGACGTCTCCTGGTATCCATCGAAGTACAAAGTCATCTACAGAGCAGACGACCGTGTTCCTGTGAGTACCAGCGGAGACGGTGTGAACGATTTCACTGGATTTCAACCGACGCTTGCCACTGCAGTTGAAGCTCAAAGAATTCTAGGTACGTACTGTTTCTGTTTGATCAAACAGTAGCGACTCAATGTTCTTTTCTTTACAGAGGAAGGTTTCGAGATATCAGGTGACCACACTGGGAAGTGTGCCACTGGATTGGTGCAAACTCAAGCACTTTTCGCTACAGGGGAAGGCTTCAAGAGCTCAGGTGGAGTTTTCACTGGCTACCCGGTCGTTGGTTTCCAGCACAAGATCCAGTCCTCTGGCGGCTGCCAAGCCTCACTCTCTCAACAACTCGTCTGTCCATGGGATCCCACAGTGAGAGGCCTGTTTTACCATCAGACCACCGTCTCCATATCGGTGGACAAGATCCAGGAATTCATTACCGACGTCAAGACACTTCGAGCTCTAAATCCCGCCGCTCTGTGTGGAGTGGACCTCTACAATGGCTTCCTCATGCGCTATGTCCGAGCTTCATCTGCATATCTGGGAAAGCAATCCGACGCAGTGGACGTGGACATAACTTACTACCGAGCTCGCAGTGGAAACACTCCCAGGCTGAACGAGGACGTCCTGGAAGAGGTGGAACAGATGGCTTTGTTCAAGTATGGAGGTCTCCCGCACTGGGGGAAGAACAGGAACATCGCGTTTGGGACTCACACGGCTGCCAAATATCCCAAGCTGCAAAAGTTCCTGGTGGTGAAGAGCAAGTTTGATCCGGATGGTTTCTTCTCGAGCGAGTGGTCCGATTTTGCGCTTGGAATCTCTGGTGGAAGTAGTAATCTTCCACACTGTGCTCTCGAGGGTGAGTGTGTTTGCTCGCTCGACTCTCACTGTGCTCCCGAGAACTATTACTTTTGTAGGCCAGGGAGAGTTTACACGGATGCGCAGGTTTGCCGCTTTGTCCCGCCTGGGACCGCCTGAAAGAATCGTTGGTATATTCCAATCCTGCCAGGATCAATGACGATCTTATCGGTGACCCTCCAAGTTTATGACCTGTGAATTTAAATCGCTACGCCCTGTCTCCGGCAGTGGCGTTGATTGTGCCGGACCATGAATCCACTAAGCCACGTAACCGAGAAGGATTACTTGCATCCTGTGATGAGTCTATTCAAGCAAGATCGCGCAATTTAGGTAAAAGGAATCTTTCTCAGTCTGTAAGGTTCCGAGGAAGAAAGAGAGCGTCTAACCAAGAGCTTGAGCTGCTAGCTGCTGAAAGTTGAAGAGCAGGATGGAAAATCATGAAGTACTCTTCCCCTTGCCTGTAATCGGGCATATTCAACTTGGAGCTCGTCTTATCTCGCATGGCCTCGCAGTGACTTTTGTTACCACCAATAAGCGATACTATGGACGACGCCGCAGATGTTTTCAGGCTCGCAATCAATCCTAAAGATGCCAACAACACTGGGTCTGGGACGCAGTTCTTCTCATGTTCAAGCTTCGTGGCGAATTTGAGAGGTTGCCTGTAGATCATGGTTGTTGCCTGAACGCTGATTTTATCAGGGAGTGTGGCATGGTTTGGGATCCCGAAAGCCTCCTTCTGGACGTCATCTGCTACATTTCTGTTGTGCTTGTACCAGTCGCAGGAATTGCTTGACAAGTACGATTCACGTTTTTCCTGCTTCCGGAGTTCGCGTTTGTGCATACCAGCTGAAACGGCAGATGAGTTTGTTTCTTGCTTCGAGGGGCTTCCAAAGCTGCGGGCCCGTTTTCCACGTGGAGAGATCCTGGACGGCAAGGTATTCTGATGAACACATTCAGCGAGCTGGAAGCGGAAGCTGAAGCTGTGGAAGTTATCCACAAAATGGTAAAACATTTCGTCGCTGCTGCCCTCAGCTTTGAGCTCAGCCGGTGGCGAAGTTCTTAAAAATGGCTCGACAGCGTCGCATTCGGCACACTGGCTGGTTTGCAATCCATGCTTGAGGAGCTTGCAAAAGGCAGCCAGTAGAATTTCATATGGGTGTTCAGAAGCAATCTTGTGCAGAACAAACAAGAGGTGTGATGAACAGTTTAAGCACCTTAAATTTCTCCTAATATATTTTGCCACCCTCTTCAAGCTTTATTAGGGTTCATTTTCAAATCGGAGTCTAATGGAGATGAAGCCGCTTTTGTAAGTGAACCGGCTTTGAGAAGATCAGGGGCGGCGGAAAGCAGCAGCAAGAAGCGGAGGATGGCTTGGGCCGCGACCAAGAGGTTTGCGGAGGGTAATGGTGTTGATAGGGAGAGGAACTACTACATCCCGCCGGATGGGGATGCTCAGGAGCTAATAGATGGGCTGTCCAGTGGGGAGTATGTGGTTCTATATGGTGCCAGGCAGACAGGAAAGACGTCCATGGCTTTCTACAGCATCGAGATTCTCGCGTCCAGGGGTTTCACTTGCATTTACATCGATTTTCCTGCACAGTCTTCCACCTTGTCCTCGCTGGACGATTTCTGGAAGCTCTTTACACAGCGGGTCTACGAGTCGAGTGGTGACGCGCTTCCCGCACCAGACTTTTCTGGCGTTGACAGCGAGGCCTACCTCCGCAGGTTGCTTGCGGGTGGCAATAAGGATATCATTCTAGTCGTTGATGAGGCCAACCATCTATCCCGCATCCCGAACACTTACAAGGTCTCCTTCCTTAACAACCTACGGCATCTCAAGCAGCTAGGGAGGAGTCGCCTGTTGTCGCTCTTGTTCGTTGGCACTGCTTCACTTCTAGACGACCTGATGATCGCGAACAAGTACAGGAAATGGCTCGACATAAAGCCGTCATTTTCTGGCAACGTGTATTCACCCTTCTCCACCGACGGCTTGTACACATCTAAGAACTTCACAAAGGAGGAAGTATGGGAGCTCATCTCGCAGTTTGTGGCTCACAAGAAGGTGGAGGTGGAGAGGGATGTATCCGACAGCATCTTCAGGATCACAGGGGGGCGAAAGGGGCTCGTTGGTGTTTGTTGCGCGCTACTGGCAGGAGACAAAAGCATGCGAGACTTTGGGCACAGGAACTTGGGGATGTGGAGCAACTTCAAAAAGGTGCACCTGATAGAGAATGTTTTTGCAAGGCCGACGTACAACGCCATGTGGGAGAACTGCTACGCACTGCAAGGAGACAAGAAGCAACTCTTGCTCAACATGCTGCAGAAGGGCGGCAAGCTTGAGCTCCAGTGGGAGGACCGGCATTTACTCGGAACGGTCAACTTTTTGGTGGCGGAAGGAATCCTAGTGGACTCCGGCGACAGGGATGGGTTCTCTGTGCTGCACTTTTCGTCTGAGCTGCTGCACTCTTTGCTGCTGAAGCAGATTTGCATAGAGGAAGATGATCTTCTAGTGAAGACAGGTCCCTTGCCTTTCAACAGGCTGTGGGTCATCCAAAGAACTATAATGTTGCTGGACCTGGATATTCTCCTGCAGGAGGAGTCGTGCAATGTGGATGGGAACACGTCAGAGTATGGCCTGCAATTTGAGTTCTTTGTCAAGTTGAAGAAGGTGCTGAAGCTGGGTTACCCGTATCTCAAGTGGAAGGTCATTCCAGAGGCCACGCATGAAGAGAATTGGAGGCGGAGGCTGGACATACTCGCCAAAGACGGGGACATAGGCTGGTTTGGCTTTGAAATTCTCAGGCAAGGTTCCATGGATGACCTGATCGAACACTATAACCGAGCCAAATGGTACGCAGATGTGCATTCCTGTGTTGTGTATATGATCAATTTCGTGTTGGAGGGGGAGGGGGTTGAATTCAAGGGGGAACCGGGGGGTCCAGTCACAGTTTACAACGTTTACATCCGCGGCACTGAAGCAAACATGGTTGGAGGCTGGTATGCTGATGCTGGCCAGCTGGACGTCAACCTGCATCTTGCTAACGTCAGATCGACACTCACCTGGGCTTTTGACTAGTCTCAGGATGCTCAGCGTTTAGGCAAATTCTGAGAAGCCCAAACTCCAAGTGGAACGGAATACGTGCATCCAATCTTGTAACCCAGAATCATCGAACTTAGAGCAGCATATTTGTTGCGCGCTGTTGGCAGGAGACAAAAGCATGCGAGACTTTGGGCACAGGAACTTGGGGAGTTCGATGTTGAGCTGAAATTACACTAAAATTTACTTTTTGAAGTAGTTTTTATTTCAAAAAGTAATTGATTTTCATTTTAAAATTTTATTACAACCACTGTAGCATGCAGATAAAATAAATGAATTAGTAAAATAATCCTGATTAGTTCAGCCTAGGAGTCAATGCATAGGAAAAGAAAAATTCAACTTTGACAAGCTAGCTGCATAATGGCAGATTATTTGCCCAGGGCTACAAATCAATCCAAGAATACTGTTACCACATTATTTTGCCCTTCTCATGTCATTTCCTCTTGACAAGGATCAGATTTATGTTAAAAGTGGACCTCTGCAATGGCTTCCTCATGCACTATGGCCTGCATATCTGGGAAAGAAATCCGACACAGTGCCACCCTATGGCAAGATCCCCAAGACTGTCACACACCGGTAAGAAGATGACCACATCTAGCTCCAGATCGATGGTATCCAAGAGCTCCAACACCAATATCCAGTCCAGCCTCTGGCATATGCCACTAGAACTACATTCCAGAACACCACATTCTTTCCCTGGCTCTGATCGAATGCCTTCTTGGCCTCGTAGATCCTTTTGCTCATGGGCTGTGTGAGCACAGCAGTCACACTACCGGAGCGAAGCTCAACAACACTCCTCCAAACAGCTTGGGGCATGTCAAAGGGGGAAAAAAAGGATTCAAGAGAGGGGAAGCTTGCAACCGATTTGCAACATATTATTGTATAAACTTCCTACAAAATTTCTAGATAACTTTCTTGAGATATCTGAAACTAGACGGCCACTGGCTCGGGCCTCTTTGCATGCTCTCCAACCTGGGTAAATGAAAAACGAAGATTGGATCACACGCTAAACAAAAACTTGAAGCCAGCGAACCTTGGCCGACTTGAATAACTCGTCCAAAACTTCCGAGAGGGTGGGATGCGCGTGGACGGCAAACTTGATCTCCTGGACGATTCAACCATGTAAGAAAAGAAGAGTGTGTGAGGGAATTATCACATAGCAAACCTGGACTCTAGTTCCCAAAGCCATGGCGTTGGAAGCCTCGTGGATGAGATCAGCTGCGTGTAAGCCAATTATGTGAACTCCCAAGATTTCCCCGGTATCTTGGCGATAAATAAGCTGCAGGAATCAAATCAATCAACCGTGTTACGACGAATTATTTTATTACCTTGGCCATTCCATCGCCTTCGTTCTCGGCCAGCGCCTTTGTGTTGGCCTTGAAACTCGTCTTCGCCACGCTCACCGTGAATCCTTGCTCTTTGCCCTTCTCCCTCGCTTGAGGCTGGAACGCATGAAGTACACTGCTTACAAAAAGCGAACTCCGAGAGAATGCGTATGTACCTCAGTCATGCCAGTCATGCTTATCTCTGGATGTGTGAAGCAAGCTGCTGGTATGCTTAAATGGTTTAGGACATTGTCGTTTCCAGCAAGTCTCTCAATAACTGCAAAAGAGACACGATCACGGTCACATCATACAAAACATGTTTCTCTCGAGATTACCTGAAATGCCCTGAGCACTGGCAGCGTGAGCAAGCATCAGTTTGCCATTTGCATCGCCGATGCAGTACAAATGAGGTACCTAAAGCAAGACAAAAGTCATGTATGTAACTTGTCAAACGAAGACAACCAACCAGTTCGCCTCTCCCATCTAGCACTTGCATTCGCTCGTCGACGGGAACAAATCCTCGTTGAGTTACAACATTAACCTGTCAAACAGTGCACAAGATGAATGGATGAAACACGAAAAATAAAAGTATTCACTTACATTTTCAAGGCCCAATCCTTTCGTAAATGGTGCCCTACCCGTTGCGATCATTGCTGCATCGACCTGAAGCAACCTCAGTCCTCAGTTATTAGTCGTTTGAGAGCTGAACAGTTACCTCAAGTGTCTCCTTGGGCTCCTTCGTCTTCGTGTCGACAAGTTCTATTAAAACTGGACGCCCGTCTTTAGCTGGAGTTATCTGCATACAGATAGTTGAACATACACATGCCAAGCAAAGACGCAACAAAGCTACCTTCTTTGCGAGCACGCCAGTGTGGAAATCAATTTTTCGAGGATTGATCAGCAGCCTCTGAGCAAGCTTCCCGATTTCAGGATCAAAGCCTGGCATCAGTTGATCCAGAGCTTCCACAAAAGTCACCTGCACATCGCGTATTCTGTAGAAAAAGGAAAGAAGAAAAACTCGCAAACCTCGCTTCCAAGGGCAGTGTAGACGTCACTGAATTCCAAGCCAATGTAGCCACTTCCGACAATGGCAATCCAATCTGGTATCCATTCGAGCTTCAAAGCGTGGTCGCTCGTGAAAACGGTCTTGCCTGAGTGTAGTCAAGTAATAAATTCGTTTAGTGATCGATCTTAAAAGGAGTGAAACGCTCACCATCTATTTCAATCCCCGGTGGAACAAATGGAACTGATCCGGTAGCGATGATGATATCTTTGGCTGTGATAACTTTGTCAACATAGCCGATCTTGCCATACCTCACTTTTTGAGGTGCCTGTAGAAACACAAGCATTGTGAGAACCTTAAGATACGAAGAGTTGAAGATACTGACCACAACGCTGCCAACACCAGTCAAGATGTCCACTCCCAGAGCCTTCATAGAATTCGTGAGGTTTGCACGGATTCTGGTGGCGAGATTGTTTGCGTGATCAGCGACGGCTTGTCTGTCATAGCCCGCCGCAGCAACCTACGGAAAAAAGCGAAAGAAGAAATTCACGTAGAGCTTCCTAGAACTCGATCCAATACCAGCTAGAACTTACTTGAATTCCAAGAGCTTTGAGGTGGTGCTCGCTCTGGAGCTCACGCATGCGTCCACTCACGGCCAGGAGCGCTTTGGAAGGAACGCACCCTCGATTCACACAAGTCCCTCCAACAATGTCTGCTTCGATGATGGCGGTCTTGAGCCCCTGGACGAAGAGAAAGAGATCTCTCGCAATTCACTTCTCTCCGAGGCTAGACGCGAAGAAAAAGAAGGAACTTACTTGCTCTACAGCGTGAAGAGCAGCGCCATGGCCGCCAACGCCAGCCCCGATGATGATCACGTCGTAATCGAAAGGCTGCGGCCCTCCATTGGACGACGAGGCGCGAGCAGCCATGGATCGCCTGGCGCCGGATCTCGATCTCCTCGCTTGCAAGCTCTGGATCCATGGATCGGAAGCCCGGAGGCTCGCGATCTCCTTGCGAAGGCCACAGAATCCAGCGCGGCGGCCATGCGAAACCCTGGCACTGTAGGATTCCGAGCAGCAAGAAGAAGCGGCCATGGATTCCATGGCGCGCACGGCCATTGGAGCGGCAGCGGCAGCAGCAGCCATGGATCGAGCGAAAGAGAGGAAGCGCTGCGAGCGATGGCTGGGAAGAATCCGGGGCCTCTTTACATGCGAATGTGAGATCGCCTCTAAACCACACAAATTTTTTTAGGCAGTCCGCTTAAACCCTTGCCCCTGTTCGTGGTAAAATTGGGCGGAGATCGCGACTGCCGAGATGCGGCATCCGGGAGAACCGATGCTTGCCTGGAAATGTTTTACAACAAGGAAGAAAAGAAACAAAAAACACGCACACCATTTTGATTTTATTCTCCGGTCGCTCAACCACCAGGAAATCTTCCAAGTTCCAACAGGAATGGAAGCTTCTTTCCGATTCCTCGCAGTACCGTGCGCGAGTTCTTCGACGATCGAATCGATCGAATCGCGAGGAATATTTCGATGATCGATGAGATAGAACCCTAAAAATCAAAATGATTTGGCGTTTCGGCTTGCGCCAAGGGTTCCCGACGGGGATGGAGGCGCCGCGATTCCTCGTCGTAAGTGTGTGAGATTTTGGATGCGCCCGCCAGGATTCTGGCTGGCGCCTCGAATCCTGGCAAGCTTTCCAGCAGTTTTTCCCTGGATTTTCGATTGATTGATCGATTTCGTTAGAGGGATGGTTTTGACCTAGCTATAGTTTGGTTTTAATACGTAAGGCAGTTGTGCTAGCAGCACTAGATAACTGACTGCTTGCATTGTTGGAGGAAAAATTGTTTTTTTGTGTGCTCGTAGCAGAGGATAGAATTTAGGAAGACAATGGGGCATAGGAGGAAACAAGGAGAGGAGAGTTCTAGTGATAGTAGCTTATCCACAGACACCTCAAAGTCTTTCGTTTCCTCGGGTTACTCCAGCCCCGATGCGAGGAGACGAAAAAAGAGGCGACGAGAGAAGCGCGTGAGTGAGAGTGAGACGGATTACTCCTCTTCCGACGACGAAGCCAGGCAAGTGTCTAGAGCTTTTGCTTTTGCTCGAGTGGTGTGTGTTATTGTTCTATCCCATTCCAAATGCTGCTGTGGCAGGAAGAGGGAGAGGAAGAAGCAGCGACGTAAACGAAGGCAAAAACGAGAGCACCACCGAGCGCACAGAGAAAAGAGTAGCGGCGAGAAGAAGAGGAGGAAAGAGAGGCATGAATCGAGGAGGCCGAAGAAGTCTCGCAAGCAGCACCATCACGAGACGGAGGATGACGAGGAGCACGGATCAAACAAGGCAGCTACGCAAGCCAAGCTCCAGGTAATTTGATCTTGCGTTTCGTAGCGAGGTGTAAAAGGTTTCCTCTTTTCATTTTCGATGCAAAGGTGACGATGGAGGCACGAGAGCAAGAGAAAAATCTCATCTATCAAAACGCTCAGCTCGCAAAGGTAAATCAAAGTAAACTCTTATTTCTTTTGCAAGGACAAACTTTACATAGCCACTGACGAATAATGTGAGCAGGCCAGGCTCAATGGAGAGCTGCGAGAAGTTCAAGCCCAGCAAGCCAAAATGCAAGATATGTACGGAACAATCGACTGGAGGTAACTTCACAGAAGAAAAACCTTTCAGTGCTTGCTCTTGATTTTTTCGGTTGTCTCCAGAGCCCGGAAAAAACTGAGACTTGAGAAAAAGGTAAGTACGCATTGTGTTGCAAAACAAACCAAAATCTTCTCATTTCCAGAAACTAGAACGAAGTGTAGCCGCGGGTAAGAAGCTGGCACAGATTGAAGAGGAGGAGAGTGCTCGCATGGATGCCTTCCGCGTTGCGGTGAGCGCCTTGACTTCCCTCTTCTCTCGTCTTTGCGCTGCCAAAAAAAAAAAGTGTCGAGATTGGAGAGATGCGTTTAGGATTAATACATGTCGTTTGTGATGGTTGCATGGAAGCTGGGCTTGCCGACTGCTGAAGCCCAGCGTCAAGCCGAATGGAGGGCCGAAGCTACCCGCGCCTTGTCGTCACAACAAGAGCCTTCTCCTCCTACGCCCTCCAAGCCTCCCAAAAAAGCCATTATCGGGCCTCAACTTCCTCGTTGATTTGAAAAGGTTCGTTGCTCATTCTCACTCTTTTTTTTCATGGCTCATCTGAGTTTTCATCGCAGGTCGTCTCGTCCAACTGGAGGTAGAATTTGTTATCAGAGAGCAACAGCGAAACAGAGTGGTTGTCTTACCATCTTAAAGTTCCCCGGCACCGAGAAGCAGCGTTCCTCTAGAGCAAAGGATGTAACTGCTTGCTTGCTCCACAGGCTGAGATAAAATAACCACGATCTGTGCGGAAAATTCTTTCACCAGATAAATCTTCAATCATTCATCCATTCGCATTTAATCGCTTTTGTTCAATTGCTTTTGTTCGCACCAACAGAGAACTGCCACAAGGACCATACCAAGAAGGAAACTACAAGATTGCACCAACCTCGAGGCTATAGAGTCGTAGCCATGTCTTGGAACGCAGTATCACTCAAGAGGGCCCATGTAAAATTTGTCACTCGGTCTTAAAGGAGCACCAGGTTTTAGAGTTGCAGCAAAAGACTTTTCCCTGGCTTTTAAAAGCTGTAGTCTCGAAGTTGCGAGCTGCAAAAACGCGATCAAAAGAATCTAAATACATCCATACCTGGCAGAGTGCGTTTTGATTGTCTTAATAGCCATCGTCCACACTGCAAGGAAACGCTTCTCTCTGCTGCTTCCTTTGCCTCATTCCCTCCTCCTCCTCAAGGAGCTCAGCGTCTCAGAGTTCAGAGGTATGGCTCTACAGACGACAGCAGCACTCCAGAAGTCCGAAATTAACGTCGAAGAGCTTTGCCTGGTTGCTCCTGCTCAAGCCACTGACGATCAGCCGCTCTACCTCTCCAATTACGATCAGCAAGTCCTGTTTAACCTCGAGTCTGTGTACTTCTATCCCCCGTCACCGCACAGGAGCGATGAGAATGTTGTCGACGTGCTACGAGCCGCACTGAGCAAACTTCTGGTCCCGTACCACTTCATGGCTGGAAGGCTGAGAATGAACGCCCGAGAGAAACGTGTCGAGGTAGATTGCAACCGAGCAGGAGCACTTTTCGTCGCAGCCACCACCAATGTCACACTCGCAGATCTTCAAGACGGCCCGACTTTGGTCAGTCTTCTCAAAGACTTCATTCTGCACTCGCCCGCCTCGCACCAAGTTTCCGATGCCCCGCTTCTCACACTCCAGGTGCCTTCTTCTCTTGTATACTAAGCTTCTTGAGCTCATCAAATAGTGCTTCCTCAGGTGACCAAGTTCAAATGCGGAGGCTTTGTCGTTGGCATTTCGAGAAACCACGCTCTCGTTGGCGGGACTTCGGGGGACGACTTCCTTGCAAACTTAACCGCTGCTGCAAGAGGACAAGAGTTCCCAGTGAAGCCGGTAGCGGATAGGAGGCTGCTCAGAGCCAGAGATTTACCCAATCCCAGCTACGAGCACTTCGAGTATATGAAAGTTGACCAAGTACCCCAGGACAGCTACTTCACGACTCCCAATTCACTGTCTCAACTGAAGCTGAATGGTAACTTTGGAGCACACTTTGGACTCTGGAAAACCTTCAATTTTCCCACCGAAGTGCTGAATTCTCTGAAGGCCCGAGCTCTAGCAGACGGTTTGCTGTCCAGGTGCACAACCTTCGAAGCGCTCGCCACCAAAGTCTGGCAAGCCCGAACCCAGGCTCTAAGCATGGATCCTGATCAAACTTCCAACTTGGTCTTTGTTGTCGACAGCCGAAAGGTACTGACTCCATCTCTTCCGGTAGGATTCACTGGCAACACCCTCAGCTTAGCCTGTGCCAGAATGCCACCTCGAGATCTAGCTGAGAAACCGTTCTCGGCCTGTGTCGAGGAAGTCCAAGTTGCCAAAGCCAGAATTACGGACGGCTACGTGAGGTCTGCAATAGACTGGCTGGAGCTGAATCACGCTGTCCCGGCTGTTAACAGTGGCATCTACCTTTCGTCCTGGGCGAATTTTTCCTTCCACAAAGTCGACTTTGGCTGGGGACCTCCCAGCCATACAATCTTCATCCCCGGCGAGAGAGGCAACAACTGCGTTATTTTCCTTCCCAGCAAGCAAGGCCTCGATGTCTGCCTCGCTCTAGAACCGCATCAAGCGTCGGCCTTCCAAAACTGCACAGGGAGTATCCTCAAATGGCCACCACCTCCCCGTTCCCGTGCCGAAAGCTATGCGACACAACAACGAGCTGGAACCGGTAACCAAGCACGTTACTACTCCACTTCTAGTAATATCATAGGTGCCTTGAGAAAGAACTTAAAAAGATGGCGAATCTGAAAGTCGCATGTGACAAAAAGCTGTGGAAAGGAAAAAGAATAATCCACTCACAACTATATGCTTTGAGGTAGCGCCAAAAGACCAGGACGGATTTTAATCGTATAGAATTCCCTGCAAACTGACATCCATAAGCCGGAGCACTGTAGGACATGGTCCAAAGATAAGCTACCGTCTAGACGGCAGCATCTGCATTCTCCAGCTCATCGAGCTCCCTCTGTTCGTCCCTTTGTTCCCGAACATCACTATCAACCATTTGCCGAACTTGTCTGCGAGACGTTCTTCGATGTCTCTTTAGCTCAAGCATCGGTTCGGCCTGCTTAACTCCGGATTCTCTTACCTTGAACCTGCAACCAGCCAAATTCCAGAGTTCAACATAACGAAAACCATCGAAAACAAATTTACCTCATGTCATTTTCTTGCTTTGTGCCAAAGACCGCTTTCTCGTGTTCTTCTCGTTTGTGAACTTCATTCCACAATGAAACGTAATACGGATATCTTTCCCAGTCACCACCCACTACACAGTCCGGTTCCGATATATGCTGGCAATCTGCAAATCCGCAGCTAAACTCGCTCTTCTCCAGGCGCGCCCGCACCTACAAAAACTCTTGCATCACGATAAGAAGAAGCTGAACAAAAATACCTCGGGGAAAAGCGATGCTAATGAGTTAATCGTCACCATTGACAAGCTGGGATAGCTGAAACCTGGAGTATCAGCGAGCATAGCCCCTCTAAATGGCAGATGCAAGAGAGAAACGTGCCGCGTCGTGTGTCGTCCGGATCCAGTTCGATACGACACCTCATTTACGCGAATGACTTCATCGTCAACTTCGTCTAGTGCCTGTACACGCGACAATTGAAGTTAGTATCAGGCGAACTTCGAAGGTATACAGACCTGGATGTCATCTGGTGGAAGGCAAGACTTTCCGCGTAGAAAGTTGATCAAGCTCGATTTTCCGACTCCACTTGGGCCAAAAACGACTGATGTTTTATCTTCGAGGAGAGGAGCCATGTCATGAAGCCCCATACCAGTCTCTACACTGCATATGTATGGTTTATATCCCCACTCCGTCAGCCGCTTCTCCCAGCTATCTTTCATCTGAAAACTAAAAATGATCCTTCTATCAGCTTTGCAGAAGCGAAAAGAAAGAAATAAAACGGGTACCTCCTGAGTAACAAGATCCGCCTTGTTGAGCACCACTGCTAGAGGTATTCCAGTCGACTCGGCTTCGACTAAGAACCTATTCAGTATCACAGGATCCAAGCGCGGCCTATCGAGTGAGAACAGCACCAGTAACAAATCAACATTAGCCACTGGTGGATCCGAAGTCTCCGATCGTCTCTGTAGAACATCTTCAATCATCCCGCGTTTGTCTGTCCAGTCTATTCCAGAGACTAAAACACTATCACCGACCATGACTCTTCTCCTGATCTTCTTGAGAAGTGCTCTCACCACGCACAGAAGCTTAATCCCTGCTCTAAATCCCTCTTCTCGCAAGCCATCGTCGGGCGCTCCAGCTCGTTCCACCACGACAGTCATGAAATTCGCCTGCGCCGACGTTACCTGCCCGACTGCTCGATCCTCAGTTGAAAGACTGTCGAATCGCTTCACATCGGGCAATGTCGTTACATCACGCACCTGCTGATTCCACTGGCGAGACACTTGCTTGGAATCGCCCCGCCGCTGCCGATCCCACTGCTTGTGGAGCTGCTTCCTGGCCGGGCCGTGCGCATTCTTCCTGCCGCATCGCACCACCGGCAGCCGCTGTGTCACGAAGCCTAGACCTAGAACACACGACGAACGCCTCAAGGCGCCAATCTCCTTGAGCTCCATTGCTCAAGAACCCTAAAAACAGAGCGCTTCTTTACCCTAAACTATTTTCTTTTTGGGCGCCAAAATCAAAAGTAAAGGGGGGATTGGTGCCCTAAAATCAAAGTTTTAGGGTTTTTGGGCCCGAGGGAGGGAAAAATGGAATGCGTTGTGCAAGGGATCATCGAGGCTCAGGTTTGTTCTTCGGTTCCAATCAAGCAATCGATCGATTGACAATCGGCGCAGCACGTAGAAGCTCTGGATGTGCTGCTGCAAGGCCTGTGCGAGGGACAGCGCGAGGCTGTCAAAACCCACGAAATATGCCTCAAGAGTAAGCCCATTTCCTTTCTTTCACGGATGCTAGAGCTTTAGAATCTCTTGAAACAGGCACTGTGGCTTCGGAGCTCCATCTACTGTGTGATCTCTCCAAACGACCTCAAATTTGGTATGTTGTTCTTTCTCCGTGCAAGAAGTAAGAAGTAGACGTTACTCATTCTCAGTTTCTTTGTTTTCTTCCTTCCTCGAGGACTGTGAAGCACATAGGAGGAGCAATGAGAGGCACTGGTGCCGAGCAGCTGCCCGCCTTGGTACGCAACATTGTGGAGTCCAAGATGAGCAACAATGCGCTTCGTTTCTTCTATGCCGTCGGCTACAAGATGGACTACGAGCTTCTCCGCGATGGTTTTGCGTACCGCTTCCAGAGAGCCTTCCCGATCACGGTCACGGTAACTTCAGTGTGTAGGCTTCCCAAGCAGCACTCGATCGACGAAGCGACACCCGTCACTCCAAACATCCAGCTCGTTGAGGTTACGGCTCCCGCTACCGCTGACAACTTTAGCGATGTCGTCCCGGCAATCTCCTCCTTTGCCGAGCACCTCTCCCCGTAAGCTTTCGTTTCTTCGTTTCCTTTTCCTTTTTTTGTTTTGTCATCGCTGACAAATTTATCCAGGCTTGTGAATTTGTCCAAGCCTGGAAGTTTTGCAGGGATCGTTTCCACGGCCTCCACGGCGGCCGCGTCATTGCTTTCGCGAAGTGACAGGCTTGAGCATCGCGTTTGAATCATTGCAAAGATATTTGGTTATTATTAACTTTCCTCGCATACATACATATTGACATACATACACATACATATCGACGGTCCTAGCTATTTAAGTTGGCGTAGGGTAAGCTTTTCTTAGAGAGGAAGGAGCGATGGACTTTTTGAGCCGGGATAAGCTCAAGGAGACGATCGAGCACACGCAGCTCTTCATCGACGGCCAGTTCGTGGATTCGGCGTCAGGTTTGGAGCTTTTCGTGTTTCCTTGCGTTTCTTCTTCTTGGATCTTACATCTTCACATTTTCAGGGAAGAAATTCGCGGCTTTCGACCCGAGTACTGGAGAAACGATCGCAGATGTTGCCGAAGGCGATGAGCGGGACGTGGATCTTGCCGTCCAAGCCGCTCGCAAGGCTTTCGAGGAGGGTCCATGGCCTCGTCTGGCCGGAGCTGTAAGTAGCATTTCTGGATGAGAGAAAGCTGATTTCTTTCGTGGTCTTTTTCTTTTTTGCTTTGCAGAAGAGGGGCAAGATCCTGGCCAAGCTTGCTGACTTGATGGAGGCCAAGATCATGGATCTTTCCACCTTGGAGACCCTCAACAACGGGATGCCGCTACAGGCGACCATGTTCATGACGAATGCAGCCATCGACGTTCTACGATACTACGGAGGTATCATCGGCTCACTAACTTTGTTTTGCTCGTCTCTCCGTCCTTCCTCCGGTCTCCTTTTCCTAGTTCTTGGATTTTTCTTTCGAGTCCTGACAGTTCCTTGTAGGCTGGGCCGATAAGATCGCGGGAAAGACTCTCAAAGGTGACGGGGATGTGCACGCCTACACGCTGTACGAGCCGATCGGCGTTGTGGGAGCTATCGTTCCCTGGAACTTCCCAGTATATCTTCTTGTGTGTAAGATTGCTCCAGCTCTCGTCTGCGGCAACACTATGGTTGTGAAACCTTCGGAACAAGCACCTCTTACTGCGCTGTGGATTGCGAAACTTGCGCTCGAGGTAAGGAAAAGATGGTATTCTGGGAGGCCCTGTTTTAACTTTGAGTTTGGTCCTGTTTTCTAGGCTGGAGTACCAGCCGGCGTGCTGAATATCGTTCCAGGATTCGGTCCCACAGCGGGAGCCGCGATTGCACGACACATGGACATCGATAAGGTACATAGCAAGTAGTTTTCCTTGGCTGTTTTCCAGGATCTCATACAACAATCTTTTGCAGTTGACCTTTACCGGATCGACCAACGTCGGAAGGCTTGTGATGAATGATGCCGCAAGCAGCAACCTGAAGCAGGTTACGCTGGAGCTGGGTGGGAAGTCACCCTTCATCATCTGCGAGGACGCAAACCTGGAGGTTGCTGCCTTCTTTTCACATCTGGCCATATTCTTCCACCAGGTAAGAACTCGCAACTGACATTACATGACTCATTGTTTACGCTTTTCAGGGACAAGTTTGTCTCGCGGGGTCCAGAGTGTTCGTCCACGAGAGCGTGTACGATGCCTTCGTTGAAAAGGCAGTGGCGATGGCCAAGCGGCGAGTTATTGGTGATCCGTTGAAGATCGAAGTCGAGCATGGCCCCCAGGTGTGTTTTATCTTTGTGATGATGGTTCTGACGTATGTGCTCGTATGTGTTGCAGATCAACCAAGCTCAGGCTGACAAGATCTTGAGCTACATCGAAAGCGCTCACGCTGAAGGAGCTCGTCTCGTGACTGGAGGAAAGCGTATTGGTGACAAGGGATTTTACATCGAGCCGACCATTTTTGCTGACGTTACGGTAATATCTTTCTCTTGATTGTTTCAACCTCCTTGACTGACTCCTGACTTGTCTCTTCCTTTTACAGCAATCTATGACGATAGCGAAAGAGGAAATCTTCGGCCCTGTCCTCTCTGTGCTCAAGTTCAAGTAAGTCCCTACTTCTGTGAGTTTTTTTCTTGTTCATTCTTCTTTCTTCGTCATTCTTTTAGGACCCTGGACGAGGCTGTCAAGCTCGCCAACAGCACGAGCTATGGCCTGGCAGCGGCAATCTTCGCGAAGGACATCGACACGGTGAACTTCCTGTCGAGGTCGATCAAGTCGGGGATTGTCTTCGTCAACTCGTACTTCAGTGCTGGACCGGGAATCCCATTCGGAGGCTACAAGATGAGCGGAATCGGCCGGGAGAATGGATACGAGGGCCTCCTGCCATATCTCCAGACCAAGTCCGTGGTCATGCCACTGGCAAACTCGCCATGGCTTTGAGAGGGTGAGTACATTCATTTTGGTTTAGCTATCTTCATGTCACGTAAAAGTATGAATCTCTTTCCAGGAACTCTCAACTCAGAGCCGCTTAACAAAGCCTTCAGGCCTTTTTTTCTTCCATACCATGTGACCTCTTGCTTTCGACATTAATAAACCACCACAGACTCTCGAGCGAGCTTTCTACATTGATGAGATGAGCGAAGGATTTACAGTGTTGTTTGGTCCCTTTCTTATGTTAACTCTCCACGCAAAACTAGCGTAGCGCGCTCTAAAACCCTGGACACCCTCCATATTTGATGCTGGACCGCATCCCACTTGTCTGGATTTGTCGAGCCAGAGGCCTCTACAATCGCATCGAGCACAGCGGGGAAGGCTTCTGACTGATAGCCATTGTTTTTGGATGGTCCATAGATCTGGAAACCAAAACAGTTGGATCGCTTGATTAAGAAGATTAAAAGCTTTACCAAGTGCTTGTGCCATGTTCTTCCGGGAATGCCACCTTCCTCCAAAAAAGCACGCTCGGCCAGCATCAGCCTGTCGTTTAATGTTCTCCTCGGAAGCAACAAGGATATCTCTCTCTCCAGTTTCTTCACAAAACCAACCAACAGAGAAATCAGTGATTTTTAAACTAAGTGTGGAGCGTGACTAGAAAAACCTTGGAGTCGTGACCGGCTTGCTTGGCTCCCTCGACAAAACTCGCCAGCGACGTACGCAGCGGCGACGCTGTTACGTTGCGCGGTGCTTTGGCTGCTCGCAATGCATCTTCCACCGCGTTTCCATACACCTGCATTGCATGGATCCAGCCAGAATGGCACAAACGGGTCACATCGATTGCGCTAGCCGGCAAGCAACAAAAAGAGTCTTAAAGAACCTGTGCCTGCGTTGCATAAGAGCCATAGTTAAATGGCAGAACGAGACAATCCGCGAGGCGTAGAGCCATCAATCCCCATATCGACGAAACTGCAAAGCTTGCAATAATATAGGAACGCTTTGTCAAGAGAGAGTTAAATATAATCACAGCTCACCGGCTACATGCCGATGGAACAACGGGTCTCCATATCGCTTCATCCAGTCGTAGTTGTCATACAGCGAATGATACACTGGATAAGCTGCACACACACACACACACAGAGACAAGCGAAAGCGCGAGCGTAAGCACTTTAGGAGACAGAAAACTTTTGCATCGATCTCACGAAAAAGATAACCTGAGAGAGTCCATACATTTCCCAAAGTACATGTCAACAGCTGGAACACCAGCGCGCTGAAGGAACGCAACGAAGTCAGAGTCTGTGCCTCCCAGCCTGTCAACCTGCGGAAAAAGAGTTACATCTCATCGCCATTTGCACAGACTATTCCACAAAATTTCACGTACCGTAGGAGAGGATTTTCCTCCTCCTCCAATTGGGCTTCTAGAGGCCCAAGAATCATAAACAGAGCCACGCCCCGTGTCAGGGTCCCCCACCTGTTGTGTCAAGAAACACACGAATCCCGAGTTAGATACAAGCTTAGCTTTTAGCCGGCATTAGCTTAGCCACCTCTTTTGTCACGTCCACCAGCAGATCATCGAGCTGTGGCGTTGCTCCAGCGAAGAAACCGGGACCGCTCACAGCGCAGTCGACGTTGAGGTACGCTACTGCTCTTGCTCCGAGAAGGTCCAAGTTCTCTTCCACCCATTCAGTCGATCCAACCTGGAAGAGTACAGGGGACAGTACGTTATCAATGCGACGCGCTCGAAAGCGATGTCTAGATGGAGATGTTGATTGTAACTTACGGAGCCAAACTCTTCTGCGTCCCAGCTCGCCAGAACAATCGTCCGGCGTGGCTTCCACCCGGCTCTCACAAGCCTTCCAAGCCTGGAAGCTATCTACAACCAGCAAAGTCAGCTTAAAAGCAATATGCTGGAAAAGAAAAAAGGATTACCTCGAGCAATGCTGCGGTGCCGCTGTTTGGATCCACAGCTCCAAAGGTCCATGCGTCCCGATGGTTTCCCAGTAAGATAAACCTGGCCAAAACACACAAGCACACAAGCACACACACACACACGGGTCAGTGACGTGTAAGCGAGAATGGCCACAAGGATATGATCCAAAATGCTCAATCACATGAATCCCTTTACGAGAAAAGTTTAGTACAACACACACTACTCCCTCGCAGCCCAAGGAGCAGAAAAGAAAGACACCAACAAAAAGAAGGTGAATCAACTACTTTGTGTACCTGTCCGGCTCTTCGTATCCTTTGATGGCACCCAACACATTCCGAATAGAGGCCAGTGTTTGATTTGCCTGCGATGAAAGCCAGAAACAACAAACGTCACCAAAGATTTCCACTTTGCTATCAAGGCACGTAGGCCGCTTTCCAGACCCTGACATGCAAGCAATTTGTCCCTACAAATCATCCGGATGGAATACTTGACAAGACCCGCACTCCTCGCTCCCTCTCCCTCTCTCTCTCTCACACACTCACTGCTCGATCATACATTGACGTGACAAATCATTCCACCCCCTCCAATGCCGTGAAAAAGCTGGCAAGAAAAAAAAAGGAACCAAGAATCTCTATCCCTGCGAGCGATCGCGAGCGACGCAGCCAACTTCTCTACGAGTCCAATCTCACACAGTAAAAATTCCACTTAAAAAGAGAATTTCTTCTCCCCCACCAATCACACAGACTCGTGCACACTCTCTGATCACAGACTTTTCAAGCGTGCCCCACAGTCACAGCTAAAGAACTCTGAAAAAAAAAAAAAAAAAAAAAAGAGGAAGAAAAACACACCACTAGCGAAGTAAAGCAGTGGTCAAGAACAACCAAGCAGAGAAGAAGAAAAACTTGCAAGAAAAGTGTAAGTTACTCACAACGTAATGGAACCGTAGCTTTGCCGGTCCTCGTCCAGTCCTGTACTCCATCGCAAATCCTCCTCGCCATCCTCGCGGAGCAACTTTACCACCCAAGCTCTCGAGGATGGGCCGAGCATCCCGAGCCGAGATTGGCAGCGATGGAATCGTCGGCAAGCCAGCTCGCGACTCTGGAATCCTCTCGGAATTGGCGGTGCTGCTCGGCCATCCAGGCGTGAGCGGGTCTCCATTGCCTTGAAAGACGGTACCTCTTTGGACGCCAGTGGGAGTGAGCCAGCTCGAGTCGGGGAAGTATCCTTGCGTTTGATTAGCAGCGTAATCGCCCGGGTCGGAAAAGATGATAGCCGCCACCGCGCCTCTCGAGGCGGCGTTCTCCACGATATCTCCGCGGAAGATCTGGCCATAGCGAGCGAGAACGATGGCTCCTCTCACGTCCACGCCGAGCAGCTCCAGCTCTTGGTAGTCCTCGCTACGTCCATAGTTGACATAGACCACCTCGCCTTGGACGTCGCCGGATGGAGAGTAAGCGTGGTAGGAGCTGATCACTGCTGCCGGACCGCCACCGCCACCATCGCCCCCTCCGGGATCCTCCTCCCGGAGCGAGAGCTCTAGCTTGAGCGAGCCATCCGGATGGAGGAGCGAGAGGTTGCGCTCCACCGGGTAGCTGAGGAGCACACTGTAATCGGCGAAGTGTGGCGCGAGGCCATAGCTCTGGAGCGCCGAGAAGACATACTCGGCGGTGGCGAAGTCGCGAGGGAGGCCGGCGACGTGCGGGTGGCGAGTGAGCTCGCGGAGGTGGCGATCCACGGTGGTGTTGCAAGCCAGGTCGAGGAAGGCGGCGTGGAAGCGCTGCGAGGAGATGGATTCGCGGCGGCGGGACCAAGCGGAGAGGGAGCGATCGATCAGAGTCGCGGAGAGGGCGATGAGAATTGCGCCGAGGAGGATGAAGAGCGCGTTGAGGAGGCAGTGGCGGAGGATTTGCTTGTGGCGGGCTTGCCTGATCCGGCACAGAGGCGATGTGGTGCTGCTGGAAGGATCCTCCTCCATGTCGAGAGGGATGAGACCCGAGCGCGCCAAGGTGTGGTGGCCATTCTCCTGTTTCGCCCACCAATGTGTGTTCCACATCTCCAAGAAAAGAAGAAGATCACCACCGCCCTTCTTCTTCTTCTTCCTCGCGATTTTTTCTTCTTCTCTGCCTTGAGAATCAATCACAAGAACGCTCCTTCTTGCCTAGAGGAGGATCGATCAAGGGAGAAAACACTCTGATCCTCACAAACTCTTCTAATCATCGAGAATTCTCTCAAAGAGGGAAGGAAAGAGCTCGCTCCAGTCTCTTCTTCTCTTTTAGAAATGGCAGTGGTACGAAAAGGAAGGGAGGCATGCATGAAAGACAAGCGCATAAAAACGCACCCCAAAAATAAGAAATCTCTCAAGGCTGCAATCGAATCGCCAAAGCAAAGCCAAGCAATTCAATGCCAGCCTTCGATCTCTCTCTCTTCTCACCCTAATCTAATCCCTTCCTTCCCTCCTCGCGATCGAATTGAAAGAACAAAGAGAGGATCAAGCACACCAGATTCTTCCTACGAGCTCTAGAATCTCGCAGAGAAATGCAAACCCTAGGAGCGCCAAGCCCTCGCCATCGCCAATCTCTTTCTCTCTCTCGCTTGGACACAAGGTGGAAGAAGAGGAGGAAGAACACAAGGCGCAACTAGGAGCAAAGTAAATTTCGTTTTCACCGTATAGCTGGTTTATTCCCTTTTTTATAACCCAGGGCGCCGGGAGGGAAAGTGAAAGCATTGCCCGGCCCGAGGTAAAAAACAAATCCGGTTTTTTCACACGCGTCTTACCTGGCGGCAGCACGGCGCCGGCCGGCGGTTAAAAACGCTGCCAATTTAAATGAGCCTTTTATCATGGCTTATGATGGAAACCTGCGAATCAATCAGCCCTAAATCATATCAAAACCATTGGAATTGGAAAACGTAATGATATTGGATCAATCGATTTCCTGTATGGTTGTTGAAGGTTCAACATCAACGTGTCTTTTGCTAGATTAAATTTTTATTTGGGGGTGTCATGGGTGGCGGGAACAAGCGTGAATGAATGTGATCCTTTCTGTCTCAAACAACAACGATCAAAGAAAAGAATATTCACTTTTCAACAACAGCGGCGTTTGATGCAGTTTGGCTTCACACACGACGTTACACTGCATTTTTCCACACAAAGTTAAAAAAAAAAGTAAAAAAGTGAAAAAGTAAAAGAGACGGGTTTTCTTTCTACATTTTTTACCAAAGCCAAATCTAGCTACGCCATCTAAGCTGCCACGCGGCCGGCGCTTATTGACGGACAGCGACGGCCTTTGAGTCAATGATCACAGGCCGGCGTGTTATGTTTTAACATACGCCACGTCACGTCCACGTCACGTCCACGTCACCGTACACCTGGTGACAGCTCGGATGGGGAATGGCGACAAAATTAAGCTTTGCGTGGGGAGAGAAAACTCCCTTGGACCATGCAACAACCACGTGAAATCGGGGATTCTTTCGGTCATGAAAGAATAGCTCTTGGTTTGTATGGTTTGGTGGCCCACATATTTTAATGATCGCTTGCCTGCCATGGTTTGGAGAGGCCTCTCCATCGCCGAGATAATGAGAGTTGCGAGCTATCTATCATCATCCATCGATCTTTTCATGTCTGTGTGTGGGTGATCGCCGTATATCTGTGATATCTTTCCTTTCCACTATTACATATGTACTCATGAATTCAAACTGTATTAATGTGGAAAGTGTATCGCAGCTATCATGGATGTCGATTAGGTCGGGTCTTCCAGAAAAACAAACAGCCGTGGAGCCCCATGGTTCACGCTGCTGTGACCTTGTCATTGATTCGTACCCTTGAAGTGCCTTTGACAATCATGAAGGCATCTCTTTCGTGTATGAATTGTAATCACTTTTAAGTAATAATACAGGATTCCACATTGTGAGCTTATCAGGCCACGTCGAAGTTGTGTTGGTAATATAAACACCTTCTCTCAAATGACACAATGTGGATTCTTAATGGCTTCCCAAAAGGCATTTATCTGTGCAAAGGTTATAAGATTGTGTTTACTGAGCTATTGTATGTGAATTAGCTAGTTGGTTGACTTCATATTCATCACAGATCCTCTCCATCTCCCTCACGGTCTGTACGCTTTGTCTTCCAATCTGTGACTACATTGTTGTGGCAATCTGACTGGAAGATATGATATGCCATTTCACGCAGTCTTTGACACCTTCTGTCCATGTTACTTCCAGTGCTCCAATGTATATTGCAAGCAACGGAGGTGAAGTGGACATCCTTGTCAAACACCCATGGTGGATGGAATGGGGTTGCCACTAAAGATTTCTAGCTTCACCAATCTATAAATCTCAATGATGATGGCTATAAGCTGTCTTGGGGCATCTATTTCCAAGAACTGAATGATCAGCACGTCTAGACACCATGTCAAATGCCTTTGCAAAATCAACGAAGCCACAAAATATGACTTGTGATGCTTGTCTCGTGCTTGTTCTAGCAGCATTCGTAATGTCAGGATGTGTCAACGCCGGCATAATGCTTGTGAAAGCCTGCTTGTCCTTCTGCATGGATATATCTCCATTTGTTTGCACTTTAGTAAAGATTCCTGATACTGCTATTGAGAACAATCTGATGGTTGCATTACATCACCTGTGGTACAATCTGATTAACTGGTTTGGATTGGTGTGACAACTTTTGCTAGCCATTGCAATTTTGTTGCCCTGAGCAGTGCAGTTATGCCATTAGCATCTGATGCTTTCCCAACCTGAATTGTGTTGACATGAAGCTATGTTGGGATATTTATTATTGAACAATGAACAACATCATAAACTTAGGTAGAGTCAAGGGGTGAAATTCAGTAAAGTTGAAGATTTAAACCTAAGACCACCAAGTAATATATAATTATCATAAATAATAACTTCTAATTGTAATGAAGAAAACATAAATAAATCTCTCATATATAACTTTAAAACTATAAAACATCAGAACATTTTAAAATTAAAATAACTAAATTTATTTTCTTCATCACATCTAAATCTATTGTCCTGAAAGTTTTTATCATTTTCTCAAAACAAAAATACTATATAATTTCTCTTTTGAATTATTATATTTTAATATTATTATATTTTAATATTATTTTTAAATATTTAATTATTATCATTCTCTATTTATAATTAATATTATTTACTATCACTCAATTTTTGTTGTTTTTTTGCCTTTATTTTACTAGATTATTTCAAAATAATCATCCAACTTGAGGATGTTGTATTTCTCTATGAACTGGACCCAATTCTTTCGCTCATTCACAAAATGAAACTTAACATTCCCTGCTACTTAAAAGAAATAAAGATAAAAATATATAAATTAAATACTAGATAATGAAACTTGAAGTATTAGTGTATGAATTTACTCATGCTAAATTCTTTGAAAGTTGTAAGTGAATATGGGAGGAAAGAGGTATTATAAATTTTTTAGTAATATATAAAAATTTAATATAATATAACTTGAAAATCAAAGATTTGCTATAAATATACTTATAATAAAAATTCATAAAAATGAATTACTTTACAAAATTTATAGCATTTTAAAATAATTAATTATATATATTTTCTTAAACATTGAACATGTATGATTAAACATAATTTTGTATTCCATGCATTCACATTGTTATATTATATTTTATGCAAATTAAAACTAATTTATTTTTCTCATATTTTTACAATGTACTATTAGTAGGATTTTTTTGGGTAAGATACCTTTATTTTATGTTATTTCATAAGTAATAAAATCTAGGATAACACAAATGATTATGTATTGTTTAGAAAGTTTTCTAAGTTTTAAATCCCATTTTCAATTATAAAGATATTAAGTTACCCATATATAAATTGATAATATTTTTTTTTTAGGAGTATGGTGAGCTTTTGTCATAACTAATATCATAAGAAAGGTATTATAAACTCTTTAAATTTATTAAAGTAGTTTAAAATATATTACTTAGTAAATAATAATATATAAGGAAAAAATACAATCATAACAACATAAAACCAAGAAACATTCTAGTAGGCTATGACAACAATGCCTTGTGTTGGCAAATGTTGCAATTAATGAATTCCATGAGGACAATAATCTATAAACTAGATGTAGCTTTAATAGTTTATAAAAAAATTATAAATATATATTTTAATATGTTGAAAAAGCAAAAGAAATAATAACTATCAAATTTCAATAGTGGTTAAGATTTATGTTTTCTTCAGTAATTCTAAGATAAAAGAAGGAAAATTTGAGAAGTAAAATAAAAAGTAAATAAAAAGTAAAAATAAAGAAATTAAAGAATAATTATTTTACAAAAAAATTAAAATACTCAAATCTGATTAAAAGTTCATCATAATGTCTATTTGATATAAATTTATAAAAATTATCTTCATATATATTTGAACTGTGAGGGCCAAGTGTACGGTTACGATGCCGTATACTAATATTAGCATAGTGGGATTTTGGTAGCTGTCGGATTGGTTTCAATCTGGACCACCTGCTCCTGTATATAAGCTAGGGTTTTTGAGCTAATTGATATGCACATTTCTGTATTCCCTTTCCATATTCCAAGCACTCACATTGGTGGAGATGAGGGGCACCTTTGATTGCCCTTGAGGAGTGCTTGAATTTGGGATTTTGGTTTAGATCTAGCTTTTTCCATTTCCTTCTTTTTGTTATTTCCTTTCAGGATTTTGGTTTAGATTTAGCTTTTTGTATTCCCATTTCCTTCTAGCTTTTTGTCATTTTCTTTTGCTCTTTCTTTTTCATTCTCCATGGCAGATCAGCAATCTCCTCCTTTGACTCTCGAGCAGCAGTTGGTCCAGTTGCTTGATGCTATGCGCTTGCAATTGAACAACCAAACTCAATTGATGGCGGCATTCACGGCACGTGGTCCAACTCCTCCTGCTCTTGGTGCCAATCCTCACGTTTGGCCGGAGTTCTTTCGTGGGAATCCTGGGGATGATGTGTACCATTGGTTTAATCACTTTACGGTGATTGCCACATACCATTCTTGGGATGATGCTCGACGGTTGCGTGAGTTTCCCACGTGTCTCCAAGGGACGGCGTTGCAGTGGTACAATGGTTTGAGCGCAGCCACTCGTGGGGATTGGAGTGTTCTCCCGGACGTCTTCAAACGCGCCTTCGGACATGCCGATGATTGTGATGATGCTTTCCAACAATTGCATCGTCTTCGCCAAGGGCCATCTGAGTCGGTGATGCAATTTGGCGTTCGTTTCCGAAGTCTTTTGCTTCGTGCGGAGCCAACTATGTTGGAGCGGATCAAGCTAGGAATGTTGTGGCCAGCACTTCGTCAAGATCTTGTTGGACTTGTGCATGCCCTTGCTCCTGCCACCCTTGACGATGCTCTTCGCTTGGCACAACGTTATGAGACGTCGCCTCTTCCACTTCTCGCTGCACGTCCTTCTGCTCCACTTCCTATGGGTGATGGTCCTATTCCAATGGAGGTTGATGCTGCTGCTGCTCGAGTCCAAGGACAAGCGCGAGGACGTGGTCGTGGTCGTGATGTTCGCTGCTGGGCATGTGATGAAGTTGGTCATACTTATCAGCGTTGCCATCGTTTTCCGGATTGGCGACCTCCATTTCCTGGGTGGAGACCTTGGCGTCAGCAACGTCCCGTGGGTGCTACTGCAGTGGAAGGTCTGGACACCGAGGTGCATCTGGGAAACGAGGAGTTGCGCGAGTAACGGAGGGATCTTGCGCGAATAAGTTAGTGACCCCTCCATCTTTCTTTCGGGAGTATCATCAAGGGGTTCACTCGGCATCGGTTCATCTAGTGTTTACTTTCCAAGCTCGTTTTTATAACAAGAGGTCTCCTATTATTCTCTCTATGTTGGTTGATACAGGTTCGAGTTTATCTTCTATTGCTCGACCTGTTGCCACACGTTGTCGTTTACACTTGCGTCGTGCGGCGGAACCAGTTTTCATTCTTTATGGCAACGGCCGTACGCATGCATGTGCACGGGATGAGGTGGATCTGGTTGTGCGTGTGGGCGATCTCGAGCTTGAGTTGCAGTCGTTGCGGGTGGTGCCGAGTCAAGCTTTTGACCTCATTCTTGGTATGGATTGGTTGCAGCGCAATCATGCCAAGTGTGACTTTGAGGCTTCTCCCCCTTGTCTCATACTTCCTTATGTTTCATCCATTCCTTTCACTTCCATACCTCTTCGTCCCTCTACTTCTACCTTTGCTTTCATTACTTTTGTTCCCCCACTCTTTCCTTTTGTGTTTCCATCTTGTTCTGCTTTTCCCTTTTCCGATCCCTCCGACGATCTTTGTGTTGCAGCAGTTGACCGGCTCATGAAGGAGTATTCTGATCTCTTTGAATTTGACTTATCGTCTGGGGCCAAGATTGCCACACGTCATCCGATTCCAACCGGGGATGCTCGTCCAATCAAGGTTCCTGTTCATCGTCAGTCACCTAAGGAGATCAAGATTTTATGAGCAAACGTCAAGGAAATGCTAGAGAAGGGTGTTATTCGGAAGTCGCGGAGTCCTTGGGCATGTGAACCTCATCTTGTGACGAAGCCTGATGGGAGTATTCGTTTCTGCATCGATTATCGTCCGTTAAATGAAGTAACGATCCCAGATGTGTATCCTCTTCCTCACACTACTGATCTCTTGGATCGTCTGGGGCGAAGTCGTTGGTTCACCAAGCTAGATCTTGCTTCTGGGTATTGGCAAGTACCGATGGCCGAAGAAGATATTCCTAAGACTGCTTTTCGTACACCATTTGGTTTGTACGAGTTCTTGGTGATGCCGTTTGGTTTGAACAATGCTCTAGCAACTTTCCAGCGGATGATGGACGAGGTTCTTTGCGATATGCCGGAGGTGACTGCTAACTTCATTGATGATGTCTTGATCCACTCGGAGGGGACGTGGGAGGAGCACGTTCGTGATGTTTGTAAAGTGTTGGATCGGCTACGCGACGTTGGTTTAAAGCTGAAGCGGTCAAAGTGCGTGTTTGGGTCCAAGGACACAACTTATCTTGGGTACCGTATTTCTCGTGAGGGTTTGCAAGTTGATCCTGACAAACTTGTGGCTGTTCTAAAGTTCCCTACTCCGAAGAGTGTGAATGATATGCAACGCTTTTTGGGTAAGGTGCAGTATCTCGGTCGTTTTGTGGATCATCTTTCCGATCGCACTACACCATTGCGAGCGTTGCTAAAGTCATCGACGTCATCTTTCATCTGGTCTCCGGATTGTGAGCGAGCGTTCGTGGATCTCAAAGAACTATTGACGACTCCTCCGGTTTTGGCATATCCTGACTACACTCGACCTTTTATTTTGCGCGTGGATGCTTCTGACATTGGTCTTGGAGGTGTGTTGATGCAAGAAAGCTCGAGTGTGCCGGGTTAGCGCCATCCCATTGCATACATCAGCCGTACATTACAACCAGTGGAGATGAACTACTCCACGACGGAGAAGGAGTGTTTAGTAGCAGTCTGGGGTTTCGAGAAATTTCATGCCTATCTACATGGTTCTCGGACGTTACTTGAAGGTGACCATGCTGCTGTTACTTCATTATTGAAGCGGAAGAACCTGGTTGGTCGTACGGCTCGGTGGGCTTTGAAGTTTCAGATATATGATTTCGATGTTGTTCATCGCCCAGGGAGTTCTATGGCTGATGCTGATGCCCTTTCTCGAGCTCCTCTTCCTTCTCCACTCACTTCTCATATTTCTGACGAACCTGTTGTTCCAGCATCTGTGGATTTTTTAGATGAGGATTCTGTGCCGTTGGCGGTTGCTATCCTTGACGTTCAGTGTCCACAAGGTGCAGAGCAAGATCTACCTTCTCTTGATGAGGTTCGCGAGGCTCAAAAGATTGAGCCGTGGATTCGGAGGCTTCGAGATGGGTTTGAGAATCCTACATCACTTGCTGATGACTTCCCTTTCCGGCATTTACATTCTCAATATCGCCTTGACGATGGCCTTCTTTATTTTGTGGGGACAGATCCTGATGATCATTTACGGCTGGTGGTGCCTTCGGTGTTTATTCCGCGGTTTTTCCATGCCTACCATGATTCTCCTGTTCTAGGTGGGCATATGGGACACCGTCGTGTCACCGAGAAGCTGCGCAGGTCTTTCTATTGGCCAGAGATGCGACGTGATATTATCCGGTATGTGCGTAGCTGCGTTTGGTGCCAAGCTCGTAATACTTCCCCTCGTGTTGCGGAAGGACGGTTGGAGTCAATTGCGGTTTCCCGTCCGTTTGAGTTGGTGGCATTTGATCTTATGGGACCTTTTCCACGGTCAACTGCTGGCAATGAGTATGTTATTATTGCTTCTAACTACTTGACTCGTTGGGTGGAAGTTGGTGCTCTTGCTAGTGCCTCTGCAACTGCTGTTGGATACTTCCTCCTCAATCGAGTGGTGTTCCAGCATTCTTGTCCAGAGCGGATTCTTTCAGATAATGGTCCCGCATTTATGGCTGAGGCATTTCATGTTTTGACATCTCGGTTGGGGATATGCCACACTTTCACGAGTGCTTATCATCCACAATCAGACGGTCTGGTGGAACGGCTTGTTCGGACATTCAAAGGGATGATTGCGAAGTATGTGAACTTTCAGCATTCGGATTGGGATGGTTATTTGCCGTCTCTTCGGTATGCATATGTTACAGGGGTGCAGAGTTCTGTTGGTGCTTCACCATATAAACTTTTATATGGTCATGATCCAATATTACCAATGGAGCTGGGTTTACCTTCGCGATTGCCACGTGCTGCTGATGCTAGATCATGGGATCAGTATTTGACGAGCATTCTTCCACTTGTCCAAGTAGAGTCTGCCGAACACTTAGGCCGCGTACAAGTGGGACAACAACGGCGCTATAACTCTCATCATCGTCTACCTGCGGAGTACAAAGTGGATGATTTGGTGTTAGTCCGTTTTCCCCATCTTACGGTACGTGGTTTATCTAAGGGGCTTCTTGCGCAATGGAAAGGACCGTATCAAGTGTTGCGACAAATTGGACCACAAGTTTATGAGGTTCGGCATGACATTCAGCAAGCCGATCCTCCAGAGATTGTGCATGTGCAGCGGCTAAAACGTTTCGTACAAAGGGATCAAAAGGAGTTAATACCACCTCCAGATCCACCGATGCCTCCTCCTAATGTTCCTTCGGATCCCGGCCCATCCTCAAGAGAACCCTGATGGTCTTCCATTATCCCGAGAGGAGGGGATGATGTGAGAGCCAAGTGTACGGTTACGATGCCGTATACTAATATTAGCGTAGTGGGATTTTGGTAGCCGTCGGATTGGTTTCAATCTAGACCACTCGCTCCTGTATATAAGCTGGGGTTTTTGAGCTAATTGATATGCACATTTCTATATTCCCTTTCCATATTCCAAGCACTCACAGAACATTATAGATACATAGGTAATACAACAAAATTAATATAAACTATTAAAGAAATAAAGTCAATATATGATAGAATTAATTAAAACATTAAATAATAAATAATAACATTAGACAACCTTTAATCCTATATAAATAAAAGTTCACTAGAATATACAAAACTAAGTAGCATATACTCACGTTTCATAGAAAAAGAAATGTTATTGTTATTTCCCTACAAATACGACATTCAAGCATCAGGTTTGTAGCTAGTGTTTACACTATTTTTACAAAGAACCAAAGCAGAAAAAACTAGACGAACGAACGGGGACTTTCCGAGCCATTGATTTAATTGGAGGTAGCGTAGAGTTGGGTCCACTCTCTTGCTGCAGAGGAAAGTACCAATGCATCTATCAAATTCTAACACCAAAAGAGGATTCTTGTCTCACCAGTTGCGATTGCTCCTCCTTGGTCTGTCTTCCAGTGCTTGGCGATGTTCTCGTCCAGGGGATCCTCAGGATTTGGAGCACTCAAAAGAGCTTGAATACTGTCAGACACAGAGCAAGGAGCCTAAGCATAATAACAACGGCAAGTGATTCAGTCACCTCAAGAGCACAGTGCGAATCTGAAGAGCGGGGCTCCATTTGTCTTTCAAAATGTCTAAACAGATCCGGCCCAGCTGCAAAGACGGTGTTAAGAACAAACGCAAGCGTAGCAGTGAGTCCCACCTTGTCGATGTTCGGGTGGTAGATTTTCGTCAAGAAGCGAACCTATTGCAGTTCTTGTCAAAACAGTGAGACCTCAAGTCAGTAAGAAATAAACCAGCGAGGACAACCTTCGTACCTTTGGGGCAGCCATCGGGTATTCCTCCGGAAGAAAGAGCTCCAGCCTGAACGCGCCACCTGAGAAGAAACACAGTAGCTCAGAGGAAGAACAAAGTAACAATGAAATCTTGCCTTCATACGGTGACTGAGCGGGGCCAAGAATCATCACACTGAAGTATCGCAAATTATCTTCGGCAGGAGAAGCGCTGATACCTTCAGCTGGAAGAGAAGCACAAAACCACAAAGAAAAACATTTAGACATTCTAGGAATGGAATACGAAATGTCCCGACGCAATCGATCTCACCTGGCTCCGTCAGTAATCGCTGAGTTTCCTGCGGATCAAACGAAACATGAGCTCTCACGGGAAATTATCGGAGCTACTACTGACCTTGATGATGCGCCGCGGGAGATTGCTGTTAGCAATGGCGCCCGCCATGGCGGCAAGATCTGGAGAGCACGGAGATGGATCGACGGCGCCGGAGCTGATGGCGCGCAAGCGAGACGATCGCCTGTCGCGAGAATCTCTTGCCCTAGAACGCAAGCACCTCTACTTTTAGGTTGTCATCGCTAAATTCCAATATCGACGGTCAGGATCGCTGGAGCTGAATTATTAGGGTTCTTGGATGAGGAGCGTTGCCCAGTGGAGGAGCCGCGCGAGATCACCTGCATTGCCGGCGCCCTGGCGATCGCGCGCTTCGGCGGTGGCGTGGGAGAGCACATCGAGCGATTCCGGGGACAAATCTGGTGAGAAATCTGGCGATGAGGAGGAAGGAGGAGGAGGAGAGGGAAATGAGGGCAAGGGGCGCAAGATTCCATACTACAGGGACGTGGAATTCCACAAGAAGGCGTGGGACAAGAGGATGAAGCGCTGGGGCGAGGCGGAGGGCGCGGGCAATTCGGTGTACACGTTTGGGAAGCCCGAGCCCGATTACACGGCGTGCCTGCTATCGGATGCGAGCAAGGAGAAGATGTACCAGATGCACAAGGAGAATCCAGAGGTGAATTCGGTGGACAAGCTCGCGGCCGAGTATCGCATCCGGAAGCAGCGCGTTCATGCCATTCTCTGGCTCAAGGAGCTCGAGAAGGAAGAGGAGGCGAGGCTTGGCCATCCTCTCGATGATAGCGTGGAGAAGTTCTACGAGAACATGTATGGGTAAGTGTTCTTCCTCTCTTCCTTTTCCTTCTCTTTCGTTTGTGGCAATGCTTGTTCTACCCCATCTCATAGTCTAGAACGTCAGTGATCTCCATTCTGATCGCATCGAGAGAGCTTTCTCTTCCTTTTTCTTCTCTTTTGTTTGTGGCAATGTGTGTTCTTGATTCTCTCATTCTTTTCCTCGTCTAGATTTCAGTGATCTTATTCCTGATGGCATCGTGAGAGTCTTCGAGTTTTTGTTCTAGGTTCCATCTAGGAGTCTAGAACTTTGTTCTTCGTTGCTCATTGATGAACGTCCTTGAATTTTTCAGGCCTGTAAGTAAGTCCTTTTTCTTCTCTTTCATTTGTGTCAACGCATCTCTCACTCGTTTCCTCGTAAATCTCATCCATCTAGGGGTCTAGAACTTCAGTGATCGCCTTCCTGATCGCATCGAGAGAGACTTCCAGTTTTGTTCTACGTCCCATCTAGGAGTCTAGAACTTTGTTCTTCATTGCTTTTACTTTCTCGCTGATGAACGTCCTTGATCTTTCAGGACTGTGCAGAAGGCACAGAAAGGCGAGAGGCACACGACGGACATCGAGATTGGTCCCGACGGCTGGGAAGGCAAGTCCCAAGACCAGGCATTGAGAGAACAATCCGAGAAGGAGGAGCGAATTCTGGTGGAAGAATTCGAGCGGAGGATGGAGTTTAACAAAAAGCAGGCAAGATACCAGTTCTCTTCTAGCTTCCATTCTTTCTTTCGTGTAGTAACACTCAACACTGGACGGATGGCAGATTTATGGCTTCGTCAAGACTCACATCATGAGCCGGAGGCGGCCGATCGATGGCTGGAGCTACATGGTCGAAGATCTGGGCCTGGAATCCAAGAGGGGACGAAGCGGTGGAATCCGGAGTGTGACGGAGCCCGACGGTACCAGGAGAACTCTAAACGAGGAGGAAAGAATGTGGACGAAGCGTGAGAGAGTCGTGGCTAGGCGGAAACCATAGCTCTAGAGTTCCTCGCGGTTCCTTGGATCATCTTCGTCAAGGTACTGTTTTTTATTCTCTTCTACTTCTGCGATTGATCGAAAGTTTGGATGTTCTTCCAGAAAATCTTTCTCTACTCCAGTGATCCTTGCGATTGATCGCGTTCTCCAGGAAAATCAAGCGGGATGTTTAGGTTTTTTCTTTAATGCGAGAAGGGTCAAGTGAAAATACTAAGAAATATTCCAGGGCTTAAATAAGAGATCCCTTGGCTATGGCCAATGGTCAGCGAGAGAAAAGAATCCCTAGCGCGCAGAGAAAGGTCGTTGGCTGCGCTTTTTAAGCGCCCCGGGAGGCCACGCAGCTCTTCTTGACCCATCGATTCGATCGATCACAGGTATTTCCTCGTTTTCCTGGCCGCATTGCGCTGTAGCTGAGGTCCACTCTCCTCTCCAGGCAGGCGATCGATCTCATGGCGCTGCATGCAGTGGGACATTGCTTCCAGGTATCCATCGATTCTCTCTCGAAATCTCTCGAAAATTTCTCACGATCGATGATTCTCTAGGGGACCGTGCTAGCGCCTGCTCATGGGGCCAATTTGCGCTCTTCGTCGCCATGCGTCAGCGTCAAGGTGAGAAATCAATCCATCGGGCATGATGAGCGCTATAGAACTCTTGTCTCTTTGCTTGTTCTCGAACAGATGCCTGCCGCGGCTCAAGGATTCTCTCTGGATCTTCATGCTGCGGCATACTTTGGTGAATCCAGGAAAGCTGCGAGGAGAGATTTCTTTCGAGTGAATGCCAAGGTTGCTACTACCGCTGCTCCAAATCTTGACACCGCCAGCGACCCTCCATTGAATCTGTTCAAGCCCAAAACTCCATACACCGCGACCATCAAGTCAGTGGAGAGGATTGTTGGCGACAAAGCTCCTGGCGAGACCTGTCACATTGTGATCGATCACGGTGGAAACGTTCCTTACTGGGAAGGCCAGAGTTACGGTGTCATTCCTCCGGTAAGTTCCAGCTCTCTTTTCTCTCCTGTTCGCTATCCAGGATTTTCTTTTTCTTGTTCTGAGTTTGATGACTACTCAGGGTGAGAATCCCAAGAAGCCTGGAACTCCGAATGCCGTGCGTTTGTACTCCATCGCGTCGACGAGATATGGTGACGACTTCGATGGTAAAACAGCGAGCCTTTGCGTGAGAAGAGCAGTCTACTGGGATCCAGAGACGGGGAAGGAAGATCCTGCAAAAAAGGGAGTTTGCAGCAACTTTCTCTGTGACAGAAAACCCGGAGACAAGGTCCAGATCACAGGCAAGCTTTTCCTATACAGTTTTTGTCTAGTTTCTTCTCTCACATCCAGTGTCTACAGGGCCTTCGGGGAAGATCATGCTACTACCAGAAAGCAACCCCAAGGCAGCACACATTATGATCGCCACTGGCACTGGTATCGCACCATTCAGGGGCTACTTGCGAAGGATGTTCATGGAGGACGTGAGCTTCAAGTTCGGCGGCTTGGCGTGGCTCTTCCTGGGCGTTGCCAACCGTGACAGCCTCCTCTACCACGACGAGTTCGAAGGCTATCTCAAGGAGTACCCGGACAACTTTAGATACGACATCGCGTTGAGCCGAGAGCAGAACAACAAGCGGGGCGGGAAGATGTACGTCCAGGACAAGATCGAGGAGTACAGCGAGGAAGTTTTCAAGCTTTTGGACGAGGGAGCGCACATATACTTCTGCGGCTTGAAGGGGATGATGCCGGGCATCCAGGACACGCTCAAGAGAGTCGCCGAGGAGCGAGGAGAGTCTTGGGAAGAGAAGCTGTCGATGCTCAAGAAGAAGAAGCAGTGGCACGTCGAAGTCTACTGAAAGATGATCGAAGAGAGAGAGAGAGAGAGGCATTCTCTTTTGGTTTTAATCCTTTTTGCCATTGTTTTGTAACAAGGCAGGAGAATTGTCCTCCTGCGCAACCCGAAAGCAAAAAAAATAAAGCAAAACTTTTGCTCACCGATTTGAATGAGAATATTCTGATATATTCTGTATATGAGGTGGCAAATATATACATGTTTTGGTGTTGCGGTTGACGATTTTGCCCAAGGTGATGGAGCTCAAGGTGATGGTGGCGAAAGGGTGGAAAGAAAAATTGAATGGGAAGAGAGTATTCCCGTCACGAGAATACAGGAGTAAGTAGCTAGAGACGCACGACACTCTTGTGTATTGATAAGATTGTTTTCTTGCATTACACAGGGTAAACGTCCCCAGAAGTCTGGCCAGGCCTTGCGACTTACAGGCGCATAGACGAAACGCACAGGAAGGTGAACTATCGAACCAGCAACACAGCCAACGAGAGATGGAAGCCTGAAGAGACGCAACTCTTCTACAAGGTGAGTTTTCTCTCTTATCAAGTTGTTTTTTTTTCTTGCCGGCTGTTGAGCAGTTTGGGACTGATTTTATCTCATCCAGCGACTGATACCCTGGCAAGTCAGAAGAACAAGTACAAACGAGAAGGACGGCATCCAACAAGAAAGAGGTGAATCTGTTTTAGCTCGTGCTGAGTTTTTCGTTTGCAGCTTTGAAGCAGCACCTTTTGGAAGATGTGCTGAAAGATATTGCAGAGTTTGCCTTTATGTGGGATGTTAACAGTAACGAGGTGGGATAGCTTTGCACTCAAGTTTTTGGATCGAATCTATGTGTGTGATGTGTGCCAGGGAGAAGTGAGTGTTTGTGATCCAGCACCAAACTTGGAGAAGAGCATGAAGATCACGAAGAGCTCCAGGAATACAAACGCTAAGAACATAACTATTGTGCATCGGATGGCAACTGTAAGTAGATGGCTTTCTAGTTTTTTGAGCGGATACAGAAAGCTTAAAGGTTATAGTGGTGGAAGTGTAACTTTCCTGTACTCCGCCGCGACGAGATATGGTGTGGTAAAACAGCGAGCCAGAAGAGCAGTCCTCTGGGATCCAAAGACGGGGAAGGAATATCCGGCAAAATTGAAGCTTGCGGCAACTTTCTCTGTTGGAGACGAGGAAAGTTCTCAAGCGGCTTGAAGACATTCTCTTTTGGTTTCAATCCTTGTTTTGTAACAGGTTGTCCTCCTGCGCGACCCGAAAGAAAAAGAAAACAGCAAGCTTTTGCTTCGCTCACGATGAAAAGTGTACACCCGCCTTGTTGAAGGACGCGAGCAGCGTCAGAAAGTCGTCCTGGGTAAGCTTGGAAGATCTCTTGTCCAGATATTTCCCTTTCTCCAAGATTTCTAGCAGCATCTCCTTGGTCTGGCATTTCGATCCATCATCGTCTACGTCCATTCCATCCTCGTTCTCGTTGTCACCGTCTTCTTCCACTTCCATCCCAGTTTCTTCTTCTTCTTCTTCTTCCTTGGAACGAGAATTCTCTCCCAGCATTGTGATATCACCACCCCCTCCCTGTTCCTGCGCTACCGCCATCACCGCCTTGCGATTCCTCTCCACGAGCTGGACGACGTTTTTCTGCCGAAATATCGATCCCAGCGTCTTGTTCTTCCGGTTGAAGCACAGCCGGACGAGACCATCCCACTCCTTGAAGCTCACTGGAGGCAAAGGATTCCGGGGCTCGATGCGTACCACCGAGGAGTCCACCTTTGGTGGCGGCCGGAAGTTGTTCTTGCCGACTTTGAGGAGGTGATCCACCCGCGCGAGGAGCTGCGTGTTCACGGACAGGCGGCAGTAGAGTGGATCCGCGGGCTTGGCGACCAAACGCATCGCGAACTCCTTCTGGAACATAATCACCGCTGCTCGAAAGAGTGGCCTGTGCGAAAGGAGCTTGAATGTGAGGGGCGATGATATCTGGTAGGGAATGTTGGCAACGCACACATCGAAGTATGGAAGCTCGGTCTTTAGAACATCTCCCTGGATGATCTACAAGCATAGAAGAAAAATCACTCATAGAATCGATTGACACGGACCAAGAAGTAGAATTTCCTACCTGGAGATGATTTGCTTGGGGAGTGCCTTGGACGCGCCTCTGGAGCTCCAGCACCATTCTGGGATCCAGCTCCACGGCAATCACCTTCTTGGCGACCTCGAGCAGCTTGACGGTGAGATTTCCAGTTCCGGGGCCAATCTCCAGGACAATGTCTGTGCTCTTGAGCCCGGCCTTCTGCACGATCGACTGGACAACGAGAGGATTCTTGAGGATGTGCTGGCCCCGCGACTTGTAGAACTGGATTCCGCCCTGGAACTGGAAGCGCTGCTTGCCGGACCCAGCCGCGGTGGCGGCCGCCTTCCTCATCTTCCCCATTCTCCCTCTCTTCTAAGCCCTAAGCCCTAACTCTTTTAGGGCTCTTTAAGTATTCGGCATTTTGAATAAGTATATTCTGTTAAGGTTACTCATTAGGCGGCTCCAAAGAGGAAGTTTTTGCAAAGGGATTACAAGAAAGGACCTTTCTTCCAGTCGGAAAATGAGCTGATTTACAAGACGGACTTTTCAGAGCCGACTGGTGAGGACAAGCCAGACAAGAGGTTGCCCAAGGAAGTTTGGTCTTTAAGATTAGCTTTTTGATCAAAACCAAGAAGGTTGTTAGGTGAGTTTTCACAGAAAAGCTTAAATAGGACATTTTTCCTTACCTTTCTTTACAGAGCTTACTTGAAGCTGCAAAAAAGGAGTGTATCCAAGCATGAAATTAAAAAGAAACTTGTGTAGCATTTCATGTGATGGTCAGTAATGTACCATATAACCTGCCTGTACTAGAGGGCTTCAAAATTCAAAGTGCAGCTTAGAGAGCCAGAAATGCTGCCATACGGGATTGTCATTTTTGGATGAGGTATAAAAAAATTCTCTGTAAAAGAAATAGTTTTACTTACAACTATACATGCAGCTAGAGGAGCTGTTTAGAGCAACAATACAAGTCACTAGACAATCTACTCACACAAGAGCCAAGATCCAGGAGGTATAGTTGAAGATTCTATTGTGGTTTTTATTTTCATTTGAACGTGTAGAACACAGCCTTGGCACAAAGTACCAATGGTGCTAAGCAAAGAGTAAAGAGAAAGGTTGCCACTCAACATACCTGTCCCAAGGTATTACAATTAAAAGCAATTAAACTTACCTTTCTTATAGCATATATACATGGCTCTTAGCTAGATATTCCCAAAAATGAGGATTAATCTAAACATGAAGAACAAGAGCAGCCTGAAACTAAGAGTAGACCAACAGTCCTGAAGTAAAAGCAAGTGAAGTCTAGAAAGGTGACAAATGTATGAACATGGACCAATGCACAACTTTGTGAAGCCATGGTGGTCAGCTATTAGAGAGGAAGGTTGGGATACCTCATTCCACACTAAATGCTTGGGTGGCTAAGAAGAGGAAGGATATGAGACATAGTCCATCTTTACATTTGAAAAAGAGATATTTATTGTTGTGTTGAAAGTTTCAGCAGAAGTTGGCTACCCTATGATGTAAAGTGAGCTCAAAGATGCAATTGCAAGCATTGTATCAGCAAGAGATATCACCTAGAATCCTGGTCATAAATGGTGTTTGACTGTTCATGAAGAGCATCCAAATATAAAACTCAAGACTACTCAGCCTTTGGAACTACAACAAGCTAAGAGTTTATGTCAACAGGTTGTTCAATGCTTCTATGATCAACTTGAAGCTACATACCTTGTGAACAAATACAAAGCCAGCAACATTTGGAATGTCGACAAGATTGGTGTTTGTGCTAGTCAAAATAGATGTGCCAAAGTCCTAGCAACAAGTGGAATGCAGAGTTTGTTTCAAGCAACATTTCACATATCACTATTCTAATTGTTGTGAATATGGAGAGAGTATCATTATTTAGTTTCCATATCTTTCAAGAGGAGTGCCACATGCAAAATTAGATATCTAGCTGTGAACTTGGGAGTGATATTTGCAATAACTCCAAACGTCTGGATGCTAAATGAGTTGTGGTCTCAATGGCTTCACCACTTTGTAAAACACATGCAAGCTACTCAAGTGAAAACAAATATGCTCTTATCATTGACAATCACACCTTTTATTGCTCTTTACACCTCATAGCTAAAGATCTTATCCTCCTACTAGCACACTCATCATATAAGTTACAACCATTGGATGTGGGCTACTTTGGCCTATTCAAAATTTACTTTCAATAAGCTATTCACAAGTTCATGTATAGAACAGTGGGAGCACAAGCATCAAAAAAGGATCTCGCAATGCTGTCTAGCAAGGCAATGGTTTTAGCTCTATCACTTGAAAACATCAAAGCCAGGTTTAGAGCAACAGGGAAATAGCCACTGAATAAGGAGGTAATGAACTCTCACTCTGGTCCAAGTATTCTACACTCAACAAACTTGGATGACTTTGATGCTATAGATGCAATTCTACAATTACATTACAATGTTAGTAAAGAAGAAGAGACTAAAGAAATAGCAATAAAGGAAGTACCTACTATACAGGATCAAGAGTTTGCATAAGAAACACTAGTGGTTCTAATTTCAACAATGCTAACACCATCAACTTCAACAAATAATGATCAACAAGAAAGTGTGTCGCAACCATCAACTCTAGCAAATGGTGGTGAATAGGCAAGAGTGTCATGGTTAGCAACCTTCTTGTGCCACCATCATTAGTTCCACTTTCTAAACCAAATATTGTGTTACAAGTATTAGTAAGATTCTAGCTTCCATTACCAACTCTCAAAGCACAACAATTTGTTGTTTAGTTTTCTTTTGTCTTTGTGGTGGATGAAGCTCATCTTGCATCTCATAGAGCATTCTTCAACTCTGCATTAATTCATCATGCTTTTGGAATTGGTGAAGTCTGTGATTACATTGAAGCACATAAAAACCTCAAGAACTGGCAGTATAGACTATCCACATCCTTATGTAGTTCATGCAACTTATCAACCTCATCCCTATTATGACACTAGAGCCTACAAACATATAAACCACTTGCCATAAGAAGGCAAAAAGGTAATGGCTTACCCTTAGTCATGAAACCATGTAGCAATCATCTCATAACTGGCTCTCATTCTTGCCAATATAGCATGGAATTAGTGTTGAGGACGCATCAGAGGAACTGCTTCTTATTAAGCTATTTGAACTCCTTATGGTCTCCTAGGATTTCTAAGCAGTCCTCATCTTCTTGTGTTAACAAACCATAGTTTCCAAGAATTTTGTGCTTAAGCCAATGTACATGTGCCATGAGGTCAAGATCATTTGCTATTGCAAGCTGCATCTTCTATAAATCCTATTTCTTGGGAATTAATGATATTGTTAATAGCCTCAATTTGCATGACCAGCTCCAACTCATTGTTGTAAGCCATGGTAGCATCTATCCATGCACTTGCTTCAACTCAAAACCACATGAATCAACAATATTATACATTGAGCACATGTTCCACAACTAGACCACTTACACTAAAGTTGTTATTGAGTAAAACATTTTTGCTAGTGGGAGTGGTGTTTAGCAGTCCTTGTTGCCAAAAGGTGGTGGTCTCTTTGTAAGATCTTCTGACCCAAAACTGTCATCACTGGCCAAGACCACCATAGGCCATGTTGCAAGTGTAAAATGTGCCTTTAGTGAGGACTTGGGTGAGGAAAGAAAGAGAGACTTACTAACACTAACTTTTGGAAATGGGAATTTTTGAGATAAGGAAGTGTTGTGAATGTGATTGCAAGTATTGAAAGTTACCTATTGGTAGGTCCTTTTAGATATTCTTTCCTTACTACCATGATAGCAAGAGGTTAGTATTGCTAAACCCTTTATTAATTTCCACTTAAGTTAGTTGAGAAACTGGTCTTTGCATATGCACTTGGTCAAATGAGCATAAGGACAGAATTCCTAAGTGCTATTAGTCAAGTATATTTGACCTAGTTAGAAAAACTCATTTATTCACTAGTGTTGGGTCCCTTAATATTTACTAGATGATAGTTTACCATATTCAATATCATGCCCCATATATTTGTCCTGTTCAATTTCATTGGCTATTTATAGAAAGTGTCTAAATTTGCTAATTTGGCATATCAATGGAATGAGATTATCTTGAACATAATGGTGTTGGTTCCGTATC